TCCCCAGGCCATTTTAAGCAGTTTATGCTTCCCCTTCTCTTCCCAACAGGAAGTGACTGAGGAACTGACTTCCAGGCACTTCTGTTTAGAAAAAAAAGGCTTCTCTGACCCAAAAATGGCACAGACGGGGCAAAAAAATATTGCAGAATTCCCACCCACTAAAGAGCATTGGATGAAGGGGAAAATCAACTTTTTTTCCAGAGGGTGTGTCTTTCCAAGTCTCATGAAAGAGGCAATAGCTCCTCCCAGACACAAACACTTGCTCAGCTCTGTTTTGTTTGTTTGTTTGTTTATTTGCCGTGTTTGTATACCACCCTTCTCAGCCCAAAGGCGACTCATTCGATCTATATATACACAGGTATTTGATACTGAAATGCCGAAGGCAACGTGGATAAGGCTAGAGATAGACGTGGCATAAAGATGGGCACATTCCCAACTGCTATTTGGCAATTCAAGCGTCAACAAAAACATCTTCAGAAAAGGATGAAAATACAAAATAATAATAATATGAAGACAACATACTGAGAGATGACAGGGAAACCTAAAAGCAGAGCAGCCAATTTGGTCCTATCCATCTATGTGAAAATACATATGTGTGTATGTGGCTAGGGTGTCCACTTACAGAGACAAGCCCCTGCCTCCACATACAGCTATGGTGTGAGCCTGTGAACATGTACAAGAGCCCTGCCAAGGTCCTCCACAAACACCATACTGCCCACCGCCCAAGTGAAAGCTTTCATACGGCGACAATTTCATCCTAGATTTTATGTGTTTCCTCCACCACAGACATCCCAGTGTTACTTACAATCTCCATTGGTGTGGAATTTGCATGAGCCCACTCACTGCCTCTCTCTTAACCCTTTCCTACTCCTTTCTATGGCACACATTAAAAAGGGGAATTGATCAGCAACTGAATATACTAGAGAGGTTTGAGGTGAAATCACCATGATTTATAGGAGTTGAAGGTACTAGGATGTATAGTTCACCTGCAATCTAAAAGCACTCTGAACTCCACCAACGATGGACCTGGAACTAACTTGGCACACAGAACTCCCATGACCAAGAAAAGATACTGGAGGTCTTTGGAGGGATTTATAGGAGTTGTAGTTCACCTACATACAGAGCACACTATGAACCTAAACAATGATGGATCTGGACCAAACTTGGCATGCATACCAGATATGCCCACATTTGAATACTGTTGAGTTTTGAGGAGAATTGGCCCGAACATTTTGGAGTTGTAGGTATTGGGATTTATAGTTCACCTGCAATCCATGAGCACTCTGAACTCCACCAATTATGGAATTTGACCTAACTTGGCAAACAGAGCCCCCATGACCAGCAAGAAATACTGGAGGTCTTTGGGATAATTTTTTCTTGATTTGAGGGAGTTGTAGTTCAACTACATCCAGAGAACACTGTGAACCCAAGCACTGATGAATGGGGACAAAACTTGGCACATATACCTGATACACTGAAATTTGATTACTGGAGGGGGTTTTTTGGGGGGGGAGGGGTGATATTTCTTTCTGGGAGTTGTAGTTCTTCCACAACCAGAGAAACTGTGACCTCCACTGATGGTGGACCTGGAACAAACTTGGCACACAGAACCCCTATGACTAGCTCAACCTACTGGAGGGGTTTGAGAAAACTGACTCACCATAGTGAGAGTTGTAGTTTACCCTGCAGTCAGAGAGCACACTAAACCCCACCAATAATGCATCTAGAGCAAGCTTGCCCAGCATAACAAACTTTAAGGACTGATTGAATTTTTTGGGGTTAGCCTGGCATGATGTGAGTTGTAGTTCACCCACAACCTTATGCATTTTGTACAATTGAAAAATACCTTTTCAAATAACACTGGGTACCCAAGTTAGTAGTGTGTTGCTACACTCCTCAAAGTAGAATGAGGTACTAACTTTATTTTTTTTCAAAAGCACAACAACATATCGATATAAATAAAAATGTAATGTTCGTTTGTGGGATTAACATAACTCAAAACCACTGGACGAACTGACACCAAATTTGGACACAAGACACCTAACAACCCAATATATGTTCTTCACTCAAAAAAATTGATTTTGTCATTTGGGAGTTGTAGTTGCTGGGATTTATAGTTCACCTACAATCAAAGAGCATTCTGAACTCCACCAACGATGGAATTGAACCAAACTTGGCACACAGTTCTCCCATGACCAACAGAAAATACTGGAACGGTTTGGTGGGCAGTGTCCTTTGGTTTTGGAGTTGTAGTTCACCTACATCCAGAGAGCACTCTGGACTCAAACAATGATGGATCTGGACCAAACTCTACACGAATACTCAATATGCCCAAATGTGAACACTGGTGGAGTTTGAGGAAAATAGAATCTTGACATTTGGGAGTTGTAGTTGCTGGGATTTATAGTTCACCTACAATCACAGGGCATTCTGAACCCCACCAACGATAGAATTGGGCCAAACCTCCCACAGAACCCCCATGTGGGTCGCAGCAATGCGTGTCAGGGGACAGCTAGTATCTATATAAATAAAAATGTAATGTTCGTTTGTGGGATTAACATAACTCAAAACCCACTGGACGAATTGACACTAAATTTGGACACAACACACCTATCAGGCCAACAAGTGACCATCACTCATAAAAACACCGAAAAACACAGTGGAAGAGACTTTAAAAGCCAACAAACAAACAAAAAACACATTACAACACATGCACAAAACCACATATATATACGCAAACACACATATATGCATATACACACACATATATACACACAAAACACATCTACATAGGCTGGGCTCCAGAATCGCGTGGCAGGGGACAGCTAATCCTGAAATATATTTTGCCACAGTACGATACACATCTCATAAATCAACGTGAGTCCTGAAACACTTTCCTATGTACTGTAAACATAATCAAACAAGCCACCCAGAAACATTTTATCAGCTTGGATATCAACAACAGCCAAAAATATTAACACACAAGAGGGGAGGGGAAAATCCTTGTTCTTTGTGACCTCTCAGGTTTATAACTTTATCATTGTGAACATTTTTCCTGGACTATTTCAAACACTCACTGAAGAAGTAAAATAAGACATGCATTTATGTCATTTTTGCTGGTATATCCACTATTATATTATATTATATTTACAAAACTTAAAAGGGTATGCATGTAAGAAAGAGTAACATATGCAGGGAAATTGGAAATGACCAACTGGGAGGAGAAGGAAACCTTATTTTTAACTTTTTAATGGTAGCATGGCTGGACAAAAGTTAAAAATAACATGTCCTGTGCTTGCTTGGGAAAAGGAACAGTAGCTGCAAGACAGAACTGCAAGAATAAAGGCAACGTGCTAAGGCTGACCTCTCTGTAAATATTATTTTCTACAGACCAGATGTAAACGAATAATGTGACCAGCAAAGGAGCTAAAAGCTAAAACCTTCTTATTCAGATAGGCTTTTCAAGATGGTGTTCCAGATCTAGTCAGGGGGGTCCTGTGGTTTTTAATTTTCAACAGAAAACACTAGAAGGGTTTGGTGGGTTTGGGAGTTTTAGTTCACCTACATCCAGAGAGCACTGTGGACTCAAACAATGAAGGATCTGGACCGAACTTGGCATGAATACTCCACATGTCCAAATATGAACACAGATGGAGTTTGGGGGAAACGGACCTTGACATTTGGGAGTTGTAGTTGCTGGGATTTATAGTTCAGCTACAATCAAAGAGAATTCTGAACTCCACCAATGATGGAATTGAACCAGACTTGACACACAGGACTCCTGTGACCAACAGAAAACACTAGAAGGGTTTGGTGGGTTTTGGAGTTGTAGTTCACCTACATCCAGAGAGCACTGTGGACTCAAGCAATGAAGGATCTGGACCAAATTTGGCATGAATACTCCATATGTCCAAATATGAACACAGATGGAGTTTGGAGGAAATGGACCTTGACATTTGGGAGTTGTAGTTGCTGGGATTTATAGTTAACTTACAATCAAAGAGAATTCTGAATCCCACCAACAATAGAATTGGGCCAAACTTCCCACACAGAACCCCCATGACCAACAGAAAATATTGTCTTTTCTGATGGTCTTTGTCGACTATTCCGACACCCCCTTGTGACCCCCCCCCCGTAATTTTCAAGGGTAAGCAAACAGTATCCCCCCCCCCCCGTAATTTTCAAGGGTAAGCAAACAGTACCCCCCCCCCCCCGCAAATCACTGATATATATTTTCTGTTCGTCGTGGGAGTTCTGTGTGCCCTCTTTGGTTCAATTCCATCACTGGTGGAGTTCAGAATGCGCTTTGATTGTAGGTGAACTATACATCTCAGTAACTACAACTTGCATATGTCAAGGTCTATTTTCCCCCAAGAGCGCCTCAAGAGTGCCCCTGGGCAAAATCAACTATACTGCAAATGCTTACTTTGCGTAATGGGTTGAGCCGCCCCTGGCCATCCATATATATGTATATGGCAGATATAGTATCATAGATTTGAAAGGGACCTCTAAAGAAAGACAATAATATGCTGCATGTTCCAGAGTAGGCAAACTAGACAATCTCCACATCAACACTGACAAAGAAACAACAAGAAATACTGTTGACCCACAAGCATAAAGAAATTACATATATTACAAACCAACACACCTTCTCGTTACTTTATTTTCCAGATCACCCGACTGGGCCACAGCAAAGTGTGGCAGGCGACGGCTAGTATATTATAAGTTTCCTTGTCAAAGCTTTATACTGGGAAAGTGATTTCAAAATTCGACATAAGACTCTTTAGAAAAGTTTTGTCATCAGGGATTAAGTTCTACCCCATGATGGTGATTCTGTTTCCACCCCTGAAAGAGCTACAAACAGCGGATATCCTTTCCCCACATTGGAGGAAACACAGTATCCAAGCACAAGCAGAAGTTAAATCTGCATGGACAGAGGATGTGGCATGGAAATACCATGAGAAGAAGAGGGCGCAGCCCCCAACAGCACGCCTACTCACCTGCTGATGAGGAGAAGGGGCCTTTTGGGGGGCAGAGCCAGAAGAAGGGACCCTCTGGGAGGGAGGCATCCCTCGGTGTGACACAGAGAAGGGTCTCAGCGCCAGGCAGGCGCATCTGCTCCTTGTCAGACACAAAGGCAGCATGGATCAGCTGCACAGCTGGAGGAAGAGGGAAAGAGGGAGGGCCTGGGCTGGGCTGCGGGGGTGGAACGGAAGGGAAGGAAGGGAGGAAGGAAGGGAATGGGAGAAAGGAGGAAGGCATCACCAGCAGAGAAGAAGAAGAAGGGGGGAGAACAAGGAAGGGAAGGGGAAAGGGATGGGGAGGGCTCAGCTGGCAGGGACGCAAAAAGGAAAGGGATTTGGGTCACTCAAGGGGACCAAGAGCCACACAAAGGGAGGTGGTGAGGGTTCAAGGTCACCACGTGGAATCAGATGCCATAATCAGAGATCTGAGACGTAGAGAAAGGGGTTAGACAGCAGAAAAAGAGGTCAAGGTAACCAAAAGGGGGATTATTGGCCACCAAAATGGGTTCAAAGGCCATAGAAAGGGAATTAGGGTCACCAAAGGGGTCTAAGAGCCAGAAAGGGGAATCAGATGCCATAACCAGAGATCAGAGCCGTAGAGAAAGGGGTTAGACAGCAGAAAAAGAGGTCAAGGTAACCAAAACAGGGATTATTGGCCACCAAAATGGGTTCAAAGGGCATAGAAAGGTAATTAGTCACCAAAGGGGTCTAAGAGCCACAAAGGGGAATCAGATGCCATAATCGGAGATCAGAGCCGTAGAGAAAGGGGTTAGACACCAGAAAAAGAGGTCAAGGTAACCAAAAGGGGGATTATTGGCCACCAAAAAGGGATCAAAGGCCATAGAAAGGGGATTGGGGTAACTCAAGGGGACTAGGAGTCTCAAAAGGGGGGTTGTGGGGGTTCAAGATCACAAAGGGGAATCAGATGCCATAATCAGAGATCAGAGCCGTAGAGAAAGGGATTAGACACCAGAAAAAGAGGTCAAGGTAACCAAAAGGGGGATTATTGGGCACCAAAATGGGTTCAAAGGCCATAGAAAGGGAATTAGGGTCACCAAAGGGGTCTAAGAACCACAAAGGGGAATCAGACGCCACAGTCAGGGAGGTCATGGGTAACAAAAGGGACCAGGCTACATATAAAGGCGATAAGGCAATTTTTGGCCACCAAAATGGGATCAAAGGGCATAACAGGGGAATTGGGGTCATTAAAGGGGACTAGGAACCACAAAAGGGGAGTTGTGGGGGTTCAAGATCACAAAGGGGAATCAGATGCCATAACCAGAGATCAGAGCCATAGAGAAAGGGGTTAGACACCGGAAAAAGACGTCAAGGTAACAAAAAAGGGGATTATTGACCACCAAAATGGGATCAAAGGCCATAAAAAGGGGATTGGGGTCACTCAAAGGGACTAGGAGCCACAAAAGGGTGGTGGTGGGCGTTCAAGATCACAAAGGGCAATCTGATGCCATAATCAGAGATCAGAGCCATAGAGAAAGGGGTTAGACACCAGAAAAAGAGGTCAAGGTGACCAAAAGGGGGATTATTGGCCATCAAAATGGGATCAAAGGCCATAAAAAAGGGAATTGGGGTCACCAAAGGGGCCTAGGTGCCACAAAAGAATACAAAGGGGAATCAGATGTCACAATTGGAGGGGGCGGGTCAGGGGCAACAAAGGGATTGAGCTACATATAAAGGAGATAAGGCGATTATTGACCACCAAAATTGGATCAAAGGCCATAAAAAGGGAATTGGGGTCACTAAAGGGGCCCAGGAGCCACAAAAGAACACAAAGGAGAATCAGATGTCACAATCAGGGGGGTCAGGGACAACAAAATTGATCAGGCTACATATAAAGGAGACAAGACCACAACAGGGCATCAGGGACCCCGCCAAAATGGGGTCAGGACCCACAAAAATGGGGATCAGAGACCACAAAAGGAGATCAGAGCCATAGATAAGGGGGTTATGGACCAGAAAAAGGGGGCAGGATAACCAAAAGGGAGGTATTTAGCCAGCAAAAGGATATAAGGAGTTACACAAAAACGTTATTTCCTGTTCAATTGTGTGGTCCTTACTTTTAAAGTCGTTGTTCTATTCCAGAAACATGTGGATTATCTGATTTGATAATCTGGATTATATGGCAGTTTAGAAGGGGCCTGGGGCCCCTTCCACACAGCGGAATAAAATCCCACATTATCCGCTTTGAACTGGCATATATGGCAGTATGGATGGGAAGCTTCTCACCAGAGTGGAAATCATCTATCGGACAGATGGCAAGCTGTTTAACCTCAGCAGACTGAAAGCCAAAACCAAGGTCACAACAACATCTGTTATAGAACTCCAGTATGCTGATGACAACGTCGTCTGTGCGCATTCAGAAGAAGACCTACAAGGCACTCTAAACACCTTTGCAGAAGCATACGAGAAGCTCGGCCTGTCATTGAACATCGAGAAAACCAAAGTGCTGTTCCAGTAGTCACCAGGCAACCCCTCTCCAATGCCAGAGATACAGCTTAATGGTGTAACATTAGAAAATGTTGACTATTTCTGCTACCTTGGCAGCCACCTCTCCACCAAAGTCAACATTGACACTGAAATACAACACCGCGTGAGCTCTGCAAGTGCAGCATTTTTTTCCGAATGAAGCACAGAGTGTTTGAGGACCAGGAAATCATAGAATCATAGAGTTGGAAGAGACCTCATGGGCCATCCAGTCCAACCCCATTCTGCCAAGAAGCAGGAATATTGCTTTCAAAGCACCCCTGACAGATGGCCATCCAGCCTCTGTTTAAAAGCCTCCAAAGAAGGAGCCTCCACCACACTCCGGGGCAGAGAGTTATACTGCTGAACGGCTCTCACAGTCAGGAAGTTCTTCCTCATGTTCAGATGGAATCTCCTTTTTTGTAGTTTGAAGCCATTGTTCCATTGTGTCCTAGTCTCCAGGGAAGCAGAAAACAAGCTTGCTCCCTCCTCCCTACGACTTCCTTTCACATATTTATACATGGCTATCATGTCTCCTCTCAGCCTTCTCTTCTTCAGGCTAAACATGCCCAGGTCTTTAAGCCGCTCCTCATAGGGCTTGTTTTCCAGAGCTATTGTCCTCCCAATCCTGCTATATACCTGCGAAACGTGGAGTATCTACCGACGTCACATGCAACTCCTGGAACGATTCCGTCAGAGTTGCCTCCAGAAAATCCTGCTAATTTCTTGGGAAGACAGGCAAACAAATGTCAGCATGCTGGAAGAAGCAAAGTCCCTCAGCATTGAAGCGATGGCCCTCCGCCATCAACTGTGGGACTGTGGCGCAGCTTTCTGAGTGTCAGCTGCTTTAAGATCACTTCTGACCACAAGGTCATGAGTTCGAAGCCAGCCCGGCTCAGAGTGAGCTTCCGACCAATTGTGTAGCTTGTTGTCGACCTTTGCAACCCGAAAGATAGTTGCATCTGTCAAGTAGGAAAATTAGGTACCACCTATGTGTGGGGAGGCTAATTTAACTTATTTACGAGGCCATAAAAAAGATGGCAGCAGAGCACTCCAGCAAAAAGCATGTGGGGAATGCGGAAGTACTTCATCAGTGTTGCAGATGGACGATGAAAGCGACAGCTCCCCTGGCGGCCAGAAAAAGTTAAATAGCCTCTGACTGTCTGTCTATATCTGTTGTGTGTCTTTGGCATTGAATGTTTGCCATCTATGTGTACATTGTAATCCGCCCTGAGTCCCCTGCGGGGTGAGAAGGGTGGAATATAAATACTATAAACTCCACTGGACCAGCCACGTTGTCCGAATGCCCGACCACCGTCTCCCAAAGGAGTTGCTCTACTCCGAACTCAAGAACAGAAAATGGAATGTTGATGGGCAGGAAAAGAGATTTAAAGATGGGCGCAACCTTAAGAACTCTGGCATAGACACTGAAAACTGGGAAGCCCTGGCCCTTGAGCGCTCCAGTTGGAGGTCAGCTGTGACCAGCAGTGCTGCAGAATTTGAAGAGGCACAAATGGAGGGCGAAAGAGAGAAACGTGCCAAGAGGAAGACGCGTCAAGCCAAGCCCGACCGGGAAACCAATTCCCTCACTGCGGGAGAAGATGCAGATCAAGAATAGGGCTCCACAGACACCTATGGACCCACCGCCAGGACACCGATCTTGGAAAACTAGAGATCGCCTAAGTAATGGCAGTGTGTTCTCAGGCCCCTTCCACACAGCTGTATTAAATCCACACTGAGCTGGATTATCTGGTAGTGTGGACTCAGATAACCCAGTTCAAATCAGATACTGTGGGATTTTCTGCCTTGATATTCTGGGATCTAGGGCTGTGTGGAAGGGCCCTGAGTTGTATGGCTGTACAAAAGGGGCCTGGGTTGTGTGGCTGTGTGGGAGGCCCCCAAGGCGAGTTAAGGCCTAGTTGTTTCCCCGCCCTCTTGACTCCGCCTCCTCTCGTAGTTTCCCAGCCCGCCTCTGAGGCTCCAAGCCCAGCCCTGCCTCTGACGTCAGCGCGGGACTCCGCCTCGGGCCTACAGCGCGGGAAACCTGGACGGAGCCGGGAGAAGGGGAAGGAGAAGCGAGAGAGGCCTTGCCTTCGTGGGCTGGTGAGGGGCCTGGGCTGGAGTGGAAGGGGAGTGGGGTGGAATGGATGTATTTGTGTGTATGTGTGTCTCTTCCTCCTTCTTCCTCCTTCATTTTATTGGGAAAGAGACCCCCCCCCATATTTATTATCCTCAGGTGCAGAATTGGGGGGGGGGTACCCCATTTGTTATAGCTTAACAAATGAACTATTTTTGATTGATCTTTTAAGATTCATGATGGACTATCCTAATAGTATAATATATTGTATACACATGTGATAATATCATAATCTATATAAATAAAAATGTAATGTTCCTTTGTGGGATTGACATAACACAAAAACCACTGGACGAATTGACACCAAATTTGGACACAAGACACCTCTCAGGCTGCCAACAAGTGACCATCACTCAAAAATATTACAATGGAGCAATGGCTTCAAACTACAAGAAAGGAGATTCCATCTGAACATGAGGAAGAACTTCCTGACTGTGAGAGCCATTCAGCAGTGGAACTCTCTGCCCCGGAGTGTGGTGGAGGCTCCTTCTTTGGAATCCTTTAAACGGGCTGGATGGCCCATGAGGTCTCTTCCAACTCTTTGATTCTATGATTCTATGATTAATTCTGTCATTTGGGAGTTGTCGTTTCTGGGATTTATAGTTCACCGACAATCAAAGAGCATTCTGAACTCCACCAACAATGGAATTGAACCAAACTTRGCACACAGGACTCCCATGACCCAACCGAAAATACTGGAAGGGTTTGGTAGGCACTGACCTTGAGTTTGGSAGTTGTAGTTCACCTACATCCAGAGAGCACTGTGGACTCTAACAATGATGGATCTGGAACACAGATGGAGTTTGGGGAAATAGACCTTGACATTTGGGAGTTGTAGTTGCTGGGATTTATAGTTCACCTACAATCAAAGAGCATTCTGAACCTCACTAACTAGAGAATTGGGCCAGACCCAACAAACGAAAGAATTGGGGCAAACTTCCCACACAGAACCCCCATGACCAACAGAAAATACATAAGGCCATCCAGTCCAACTCCCTTCACCAGGGCATGAAAATGTAAACAAAGCCCTCTTGACAAAGAGACATCCAGTCATAGATAGATATATATGATTCACACATATAGAGATATAGTATAGATTTGAAAGGGATCCCTAAAGAAGGACAATTGTATGTTGCATGTTCCAGAGTAGGCAAACCAGACAATCACATCAACACTGACAAAGAAGCAGCAAGAAATACTGTTTACCCTCAAGCAGAAAGGAATTACATATATTAGAAAGCAACATTTTCTCATTATTTTTCCAGATCACCAGACTGGGCCACAGCGACGCATGGCAGGGGATAGCTAGTAATACATATAAATGTTGCTTCAGGCCTGAGCTACACTGCAGACGTAATGCAAGAATGCTATTACTTAACATTTGTTTTATTAACACTATTTTTAGATAACAGAATCTAGTGTGTGCCATCCTCACACTTACTTACTTACTTAGGCGATCCCTCGTAGTCCGAGGATGATGGTCCTCCAAGTTCGGTGTCCTGGGGGTGGGTTCATAGGTGGCTGTGGAGCCCACCTGCATCTTCTTCCGCAGTGAGGACATTGGTTTCCAGGTGGGAGGCGGTCTCAGACGGGGTTGGCTTGACGTGCCTTCTTCTTGGCTCGTTTCTCTCTTTCACCCTCCATTCGTGCCTCTTCAAATTCTGCAGCACTGCTGGTCACAGCTGACCTCCGTCTGGAGCGCTCAAGGGCCAGTTCTCAGTGTCTATGATAGAGTTTTTAAGGTTCGCTTTGAGCCCATCTTTAAATCTCTTTTCCTGTCCACCAACATTCTGTTTTCCATTCTTGAGTTCGGAGTAGAGCAACTGCTTTGGGAGACCGTGGTTGGGCATCCGGACAACGTGGCCGGTCCAGCGGAGTTGATGGCGGAGGACCATCGCTTCGATGCTGGTGGTCTTTGCTTCTTCCAGCACGCTGACGTTTGTCCACCTGTCTTCCCAAGAGATTTGCAGGATTTTCCGAGGAATCGTTTCAGGAGTTGCATGTGATGCCTGTAGACAGTCCACGTTTCGCAGGCATAGAGCAGGGTTGGGAGGACAATAGCTTTATAGGCAAGCACTTTGGTATCCCTATGGATGTCCCAGTCCTCAAACACTCTCTGCTTCATTCAGAAAAATGCTGCACTCGCAGAGCTCAGGCAGTGTTGTATTTCGGTGTCGATGTTGACTTTGGTGGAGAGGTGGCCTCCAAGGAAATGATCAACATTTTCTAATGTTTCACCATTAATCTGTATTTCTGGCATTGGAGAGGCATTGGTTGGTGTCTGCTGCTATTACTTAACATTTGTTTTATTAACACTATTTTTTAGATAACAGAAAATGCCATCCTCACAAAAACCAATGCGATACGGTCACACAGAAGGCCATACAGAGGTCTGCTTTGATGACACTGGGAGGTAAGTGAACCCACAATCCGACTCATGCAAGTAGATTTTATAACAACAACAAACAACAACAACAAAGATTGTGGCACAAGCCAGTAAAGGTGGTCCCAGTGGTGAGCGGCACACAGTGCAGTGCCTAAAGACTTTGGGCTGCACTTAAAAATAATTGGCGCTGACAAAATTACCACCTGTCAGCTGCAAAAAGGCCACCCTGCTGGGATGTGCATGCGTTATTTGCCAATACATCACACAGACCTAGACATTTCGGAAGGGTCCAATATGTGATCGAATACAAAAGCCAACATAGTGATCTTGTTTGCTGTCGACTCATCGTGTTGTGTCTCAAATAATAATAATAATAATAATAATAATAATAATGTTATTTCTTAACTGCCTCTCCTTGTTGCTAGAGGTGGGTTACAGTATAATTAAAACACGTAAACATTGTAAAAATCCTGCAAAATAAACAAATTAAAATGTATTTCTATAAAATTCATATTAATTCCAAGATAAAGTTCTGAAATGGCGAGTGCTTCTGTTCCTATAAAAAAACACTTTCTGCGTGAGTTTTTTATGTATCTTTTGACTTGTGACTTAATACAAACATGGTAGATGCCATTGATGGTGATGGGCTTCCCACATTGTTTTGTCTCATGCGATGAAAAATACAAGAAAGTAGCACAGCTTTCTATGTATATGCTACAATTCACAATAGTGCTGTGTTTTTGCAGTCGTACTGCATTTACATTTGAGTATCTTTACCGCTGTTCAAATTAGGGATTTCCATAACTGCCCTGAGTATTAATTATGTGGGGAAAGGTAGGATACAAATAACATTAATGATAGCCATCACAATATTGAAGAACTAAATTTCCCCATATTAATAAAAGTCCCCCCAAGTATTTGTGATCTTACTATTTGTCACTTTCATACATCTTTCTTGGGCCCCTTTTACACTACCATATAATCCAGATTATCAAAGCAGATAATCCACATTTGTGGGAAATTTGTGGAAAAACTTGATTCCACAATCCCTGTTTTAATGAGCCCTCTGCAAATAATCTGCTTCTCCTTTATCTAACCCGAGTTTTTTAATCAGCTTTTAATTAGTTTTTCCTTTTAACTATTACATGTAGCCCGCCCATTGTCACTGTGATTATGTTTATTGTGATTTTATATCGCTATGCATTTGCGTTTTATGTAATTATGTTGTTTATTGTTTGCGTTTTCGGTTTTATTCTGTTGTAATTTATTGTTTGGGTTTGGCCTCATGTAAGCTGCCCCAAGTCCCCATCGGGAAGATGGTGGCGGGGTATAAATAAAGATTATTATTATTATTAATATTATTATTATTATCAACTTTATTTGTACCCCGCTAACATCTCCCGTAGGACTCGATGCGGCTTACAAGGCAAAGGCCTCAATAAAACAACAATACAACAATATACATAAACCATAAAGCAAATCAAAACAATTAAAGCAATAACAGTAAACAGTAAAAACAATACACCATAACACAATAAAACTAAGGCCAGGCCAAGTGTAAATGGGTACAGATTAAAAGTGCTGAGTGTGACAGTTGAAATATAAGGATTTTGGGTAAGTGCATGTGCTGACAATCTTAGATCTCTAGTAAAGTGCTTCTGGGACGTGTTGCTGGAGTTTCCTATTCTTTAAAGACACACCGGAATAGCCAAGTCTTCAAGTTCTTCCTAAAGACTGCCAACGTAGGAACCTGTCTAATGTCCTTGGGGAGGGTGTTCCAGAGTCGGGGGGCTACCATAGAGAAGGCCCTGTCCCTCGTCCCCACCAAACGTGCCTGCGACGCAGGTGAAATCGTGAGCAGGGCCTCTCCGGATGAACGAAGGGAGCGTGCGGGTTCATAAACGGAGATGCGATCACGCAGGTAGGCAGGTTATTTGAAACACAACATGATGAGTCCACAGCAGACGCTCTGCTGGCTGTTGAATTGGATCACACGTCGGACACTTCCCAAGTGTCTAGGACTGTGTGATGTATCAGCGAATAATGCGTGAAGATCCCAGTAAGGTGGCCTTTTGCAGGTGGTAATTTTGTCATGTTTAAGTGCAGGCCAAGGTCTTTAGGCACTGCACCCAGTGTGCTGATCACCACTGGGACCACTTTTACTGGTTTGTGCCAGAGCCTTTGTTGTTGTTGTTGTTGTTATATTATTATTATTATTATTATTATTATTATTATTATTATTATTATTATTATTATATGAACCTACACTGCCATATAATCTAGTTCAAAGCAGATAATCTGGATTTTATATGGCAGTGAAAAAGGGGCCTAGGTTTTAAAATGTTGTTGCTGATCTCATCAGTGTATTTCCATTACAATTTTATTTGTTTTGTTATAGTTTTACTGTGTTATGGTTTTTATAATTGTTTTACACTGCATTGTTTCCTCATGAGTTTGGTTGTCATTTGTGGAAAGCCGGATCGCCCTGCTTGCGATTCCACCGGCGTCGCAAGCGCGGTTGGTGGGGACGAGGATAGGGCCTTTTCTGTGGTTGCCCCCCGACTTTGGAACACCCTCCCCAAAGATATCAGATTACCACCCACGTTGGCAGGCTTTAGGAAGAGTTTGAAGACCTGGCTGTTCCGATGTGCCTTCCCAGAATAGGAAACTTCAGGACTATGTCCCAGAAGCACTTTGTTAGAGTTTTAAGATCCTCTGCACATTGCACATGCCCTGAAATCCAATATGCTGCCATCAACCCAGCACTTTTTAATCTATACCCACTACTTGGCCCGGCCTTGGTTTTACTGTGTTTATGATGTAATGTTTTGTTGATATTGCTTTATGTTTTTGATTTGCTTTGAGTTGTATTGTTTTATGTTGTTGTTATGTTGAGGCCTCAGCCTTTGTAAGCCGCATCGAGTCCTTCGGGAGATGCTAGCGGGGTACAAATAAAGTTTAATAATAATAATAATAATAATAATGAATGAGGTACCAGTGGATTTTGGAAGACTTGAAAAATAAAGTAGTACAGTTGTGTGTGTAGTTATAGGTACACAGTCATTCCCAAGAAAAGGTAGCATATCTGGTGCAATAATTGAAATCCAAACGATGAAGACAACATTATGATGGGATTTATTATGGAAAAATACAGTATGAAGGACTGGGATATCCATCATGTTCCAAAGTGACAGATCTCATACTTCATAACAGTAGTGCGAAAATCCCCTCACCATGCCATTAGAAGAATAGATTTAGATATCTTCAATACATACAGTGCTTCCTTTTGTTTTTCAAATGCATTTAAAAGTTCTGTCTGTGACTTGGAAACAACACACACAGGTTTCCCATTTCTCTATGTCTTATTTTTGACCTCTGTGATCTACAGATCTTCGACTGATGTCTTCACTTTTGTTACATTTGAATAAATTAATGCTTTGTTAATGTTTATTTTTTGTGAAAGCTTTGTATGTAAGTCAATAATTCTGGAATAATTCCATATATTTTCATGTGTTGTTGTTTTTTAATAGCTACATTGTAACCTGTGGTAGTGACGGAGATGTCAGAATTTGGGAAAGCCTAGATGATGATGATCCCAAGTCCATTAACGTGGGAGAAAAAGCCTACTCATTTGCTCTCAAGGTAAAGTGACCTGTGTTGCATCAAGTTCTTCCAATACACATTTTCTTCTTATTTATAAAAGTAAAACAATTGAATAGACTTGTGGATTAAGAAAATGTGGTTTTCATGTACAGAGGTATTTGCTGCGTTGGTGTAGGTGGAAGTGATTTTGAACAATTACATTTTCAAGATTTGTAGAAAGTTATTTCAGGTTTGAAGACAGTTCCCTGGTGACAACTAAAAATCGTGATCATGCATGAAAGCTTTGTAAACTGAAAGAGCTGAATTCCCCCCCCCCCCATGTCAATCATTTAGTACATTTAGTAGCACACTGCTTTTTTTGATAGAATTACAAGCTGCTTAGATGTATGGAATGCCATGGATGTAGCTTATCTGGATTTCGGGAAGGCATTCCTTCAACAAGGTCCCCCATGACCTTCTGGCAAGGAAACTAGTCCAATGTGGGCTAGGCAAAGCTTGGTGGGGACGAGGAAGAGGGCCTTTTTGGTGGTGGCCCCCCAACTCTGGAACTTACATTACAGTAGAAGTGGGAAACGGCATACATTGAAACCCCAATACAAAGACTTGGCGTGATTTTTTTTGCAAAAGCACTGCCTTAGATAGTATACATTTCTGTGCCTTCCATCCTTCCATGGAAGAATGAAGGACTCAAGGGCTGGGGACTTCTGGCCATCTGTGCAATTAATCTTTATACTATGTTGCTTTTGTTTTGTGATCCTTTCTGGGCTTAGTAACACTGCTTTTTGGAATGGCGGTCTTAAGAGTCCTCAAAGTAACTTTCCCAAGGTCCAATTAGGAGCAGATAATCCCAAGTCTAGAACAATACGCTTATGGACTGTATGTTACTCCAACTGGGACTGGAGATGGTGCAATTCAGTGGGACATCTGAATTTCTCTGTAATTCTGCTAGAATTAAGATAGCCGATGGGGAGAATGTGTGTAAAACTAGTCAACGGCAGCCTTGTTTAGCACATTTAAAAAATGGTCCATAATCCAAGTTGTATTAATGATTTTCTTGCCAAAGTTGGATGCATTTTTCATAATGGAAATGTTGAATTTTGAAAATAAAAAACCATAATCTGTAATTTTTTCTGTAACCATTTCATGATGAAGAATACGAATTGCTTGAGAGCACTCTGTGAAGGCAATGGTAAATAAAGTGTACTTCCCAAGGACATCAGACATGCCCCAACTCTGGCCGTCTTTAGGAAGAGCCTGAAAACGTGGTTGTTCTAGTGTGCCTTTCCACAATAAGGAAAACTCGGCAATATGCCCTCAAAATGCACTTTACCACTGATTTAGGATTGACTGCGTTCCTTCATCTCTCTTTGAAAAACCCTATCTCAGTTATATCCTACCTTATTCATGCCCAGCATTATTTTTTAAATTTTAAATTATTACATTTGGCCCAGCCATGGGTTTTTAAATGCTTGTGTGCTACTGTTATTATTGTTTATTGTTTATTTTTTTGTTTATGTGATTTATATTAATTGTTTTGTATTGCTTGTTTTTGTTATTGCCTTTGTTTACTGATGTACTGTGGGCTTGGCCTCATGTAAGCCGCACGGAGTCCATTGGGAAGATGGTAGCAGAGTATAAATAAATTATTATTATTATTATTATTATTATTATTATTATTATTATTATTATTATTATTATTATGGTTATGTGGATCTTTAACTGGTTAAGCAAATGAACCCATAGGGTGATTCTCCTCAATGCTTCCTCTTCATCCTGGAAAGAAGTAAGGAGTGGAGTACCATAAGCAGGGCTCCGTCCTGGGCCTGATTCTGTTCAAGATCTTTATTAATGGCTCAGGTCAAGGATTAGAAGGCATGATCATCAAGTTTGCGGACGGGACCCAATTGGGAGGGAGAGCCAATACTCCAGAAGACAGGAGCAGAATACAAAACGATCTTAACAGATTAGAGAGATGATTGGCCAAAACCAAGAAAATGAAGTTCAACAGGGACAAATGCACTTAGGCAGAAAAAATGAAATGCAAAGATATAGAATGGGGGATGCCTGGCTCGACAGCAGTATATGTGAAAAAGATCTTGGAGTCCTCGTGGACAACAAGTTGAACATGAGCCAACAATGTCATTTGCTGGCTGAAAAAGCCAATGGGATTCTGACATGCATAAATAGGAGCCTAGGTTCAGGGAAGTCATGCTACCTCTCTATTCTGCCTTGGTTAGACCACACCTGGAATACTGTGTCCAATTCTGGACACCGCAATTGAAGGGAGATGTTGACTCTAAGCTGGAATGTGTCCAGAGGAGGGTGACTAAAATGATCAAGGGTCTGGAGAACATGCCCCATGAGGAGCTGCTTAAAGAGTTGGGCATGTTTAGCCTGCAGAAGAGAAGGCTGAGAGGAGACATGATGAGGGCCATGGATCAAGATGTGAGGGGAAGTCATAGGGAGGAGGGAGCAAGCTTGTTTTCTGTTGTCCTGGAGACTAGGACCTGGAACAATGGCTTCAAACTACAGGAAAGGAGATTCCACCTGAACATGACGAAGAACTTCCTAACTGTGAGAGCTGTTCAGCAGTGGAACTCTCTGCCCCAGCGTGTGGTGGAGGCGCCTTCTTTGGAGACTTTTAAACAGGCTGGATGGCCATCTGTCAGGGGTGCTTTGGATGTAATTTTCCTGCTTCTTGGCATATGGTTGGACTAGATGGCCCACGAGGTTTCTTCCAACTCTAGGATTGTATGATTCTAACACATCACATGAAGAAGTGGCCTGGATTCATTTGTAGTGTAGCAACATTTTTGTGGGTTGATTAAAAAAGAGATGAAAATTATAACTTTATATGTTTTCCCTTAATATTATGTTAGGTGCTTAAGAAAACTGATTTTATTCAATACTCTTGTGTGTGTGTTTTAGGTTTGGTGTGCACATTGGAGTTTTTCAGAATATGTATTGTCGAAGTCTTTCATGGCTGGGATCACTGGGTTGTTGTAGGTTTTTCCGGGCTATAGGGCCATGTTCTGGAGGCAATTTTTCTCCTGACATTTCGCCTGCATCTATGGCAAGCATCCTCAGAGGTAGTGAGGTCTGTTGGAAGTAGGAAAAACGGGTTTATATATCTGTGGAATGACCAGGGTAATGTTTTAGCTGATCACCTTGATTTGCATTCAATGGCCTGGAAGCGCCTGGGGGTAATCTCTTGTTGAGAGTGAATTGATGTGCCTGATTGTTTACTCTCTGTTGTTTTGCTGTTGTAATTTTTGAGTTTTTAATATTGGTAGCCAGATTTTGTTCATCTTCATGGTTTCCTCCTCTCTGTTGAAATTGTCCACATGCTTGTGGATTTCCATGCCTTCTCTGTGTAGTCTGACATGGTGGTTGTGAGAGTGGTCCAGCACTTCTGTGTTCTCAAATAATATGCTGTGTCCAGGTTGGTTCATCAGGTGCTCTGCTATGGCTGATTTCTCTGGTTGGAGTAGAATAGTTTATTATCTGTGAAACTTAGACCAGCTCTGCCCCCTTGTGAATATGGCAAGTTAAGGCAATTGTTCTAAGAATTGTTTTCTAGAAGAACAACAGCCTTCAATATGTTTGTACCTTGTCTTTTATTAAGCCTTATGTTTACATTGGGCTTATAAATTTCCCTAAATACGTTAATGCTGTGAATAGTCACATACCCATTTTTACATGGCAGTTACTTGGATTATAGTGTCCTCTGCAACATGTGCCATTTTTCTCTGAGAGCACACTTATACTGATCAAAAAGTTCCAAATTTCATTCCTGTACTTTTTTATTTTTTACTGCGCTACAGAAAGCTGCCCTGGGGAGTTGGAATAAAAAGTCTTTAGCCATTGTTAATTCTGTGATCAATGACTAATCTTGCTCAACCAATGATAACGTGTAGCTGGCTTGTTCATGCTCTTATGTGGAAAATAGTGTCAAGAGGAAATTGCTCAGTGACTGTCATTTAATTGAGTTTATAAATATTAACCTGGTTATGGGTTTTTTATGCAGATATGTTTCACGGTAATTTGTAAACTGAAATATCAATCCAGGGCATACCCAAACCTATATTGTGTAAAGTAGACACAATAAAAGACAATATGTATAAAATATTATTTATGTATTTATCGTGTCAGGAGAAACCAGACATTTGTATTACATTTTTAACAAAACAAACAAACAGACAAAACACAAAGTTTGCAAGCTTGGTAGTTGATTTAATGTCCTTTGACCAGTATCTGACCGCTTGGCGTGCCTCTGGTGTTGCCGCAAAGAGGTCTTCCATTGTGCATGTGGTAGGGCTCAGGTTGCATTGCAGCAGGTGGTCAGTGGTTTGCTCTTCTCCACACTTGCATGTCGTGGATTCCACTTTGTAGCCCAATTTCTTAAGATTGGCTCTGCATCTTGTGGTGCCAGAGCACAGTCTGTTCAGCGCCTTCCAAGTCGCCCAGTTTTCTGTGTGCCCAGGGGGGAGTCTCTCATTTGGTATCAGCCATTGATTGAGGTTCTGGGTTTGAGCCTGCCACTTTTGGACTCTCGCTTGCTGGGGTGTTCCAGCGTGTGTCTCTGTAGATCTTAGAAAACTATTTCCTGATTTAAGCCGTTGACGTGCTGGCTGATACCCAAACAGGGGATGAGCTGGAGATGTCCCTGCCTTGGTCCTTTCACTATTGGCTGCCACTTCCCGGCGGATGTCAGGTGGTGCAATACCGGCTAAACAGTATAGTTTCTCCAGTGGTGTAGGGCGCAGACACCCCGTGATAAGATGACAATGTGGGAAAAGAAGGGAATTAGTCTACAACTTATTTACTGATTCTGCAAATGTTGCCCTACAGCTGATCTTCTTTTCTTGTCATACTTTCACTTCTGGAAAGAATTTCCAACCTTTGGATGGGAAAATCAGAAGGCTGGGAAAGGGTTTTGTATGCTTCTTCTTTTCACTCTTTTGATTAGTGCTGTGAGAGAAACAAAAGATAGAATTATTCATGATATAGTTCTATCCTGCTATAAGATAGCCTGATGTGTTGATAGCTTTGTTGGCAGTCGTGTTGGAGTTGGAAGCAATTTTTCCCAGTTCTTCTGTAGGGAATCATGTAGTTCTCCTTATATTTTTGGACTGCAACTCCCAGCACTCCTCACCTGTGTTGGCTCAGGCTGCTGGGAAGTTGGTCCAGCCATAGATGGGTTGCCTGTGTTCTTCCCACTGTTGTCCTGCATGAAAAATGAAAATAAACCTGTTTCCTTTGTGTCGGTGCATGATTCCTTCATATTGTCTAATGCTAGCTTTGCCTTATTTACAGAATGGGAAATTGATTACAGCAATGTCTAACAATGCTGTCCAGATCCATACATTCCCAGAAGGTGCTCCAGATGGTATCCTGACACGCTTCACTACGAATGCCAATCATGTGGTTTTCAATGCTGATGGGACTAAAGTAGCTGCTGGATCCAGGTAACTTGAAAAATGCAGGGAAATTTATGTTCTACTTTGTGGTCTGCACAAATTCCTACAAATGGGTTTGGGGCCCGCCTACCTGCATGACCGCATCTCTGTGTACGAACCCACACGATCTCTTCTTTCATCTGGAGAGGCCCTGCTCTCGATTCCACCAGCATCGCAGGGGTGATTGGTGGGGACGAGAGAGAGGGCCTTTTCGATGGTGGCCCCTCGACTCTGGAACTCACTCCCTGAGGATATCAGGCAATGATTAAACATTTTAAATGGAGGAAATATAGTGTTCATTTGCATCCTGCAACAGTTTTTCAACATTTAATAGTATAAAATACTGGAAGTTGCTTCTGGTGTGAAAGAATCAGCCGCCTACAAAGACCTTGCCGAGGGAATGCCCAGATGTGTCTCCATCCTGCAGGGAGGCCTCTCTCATGTCCCCAGGGTCTGATTTACAAGAAGTACTACCTGACTATCAAGCAAAAAGTAGAAATAATGTCATGCGAAAGCAGACTGGCACAACCTGGGGATCACAAACAGACACAGCAAAGACATCTGCCTTTGCGCTTTGCTATTCTGCTGCTGAATACGCACGCCCAGTGTGGAATACATCTCACCATGTTAAACAGTGGATGTGGCTCTTAATGAGACATGTCACATTATCACAGGATGTCTACACCCAACACTGCTGGAGAAATTATACTGTTCAGCCCAGTGGTTCACAACCTTTTTTTTTTTGACCAGGGACCACTTTCCAACATTATTACCAAAAGGGTTACAAATCAGTTTTTGGTCAATTTTAGATTCAGTTTGGTTATTTGGAGTGCTGATTCATAGAATTCTATGGGACAGACACATCAGCTCTAGTTTCTGATACAGAACATATGCCATCCAGTAGTCACCATCTCCTTGCCCACAGAAAACCATGTTTAATAGTCTTGGCACTGTAAAAGGGTTTGCAAGACCAGTTACTCTCATTGCAATGATATAGTAACAGTGAAGCCGCACACTATATTTTAGTTCTTGTGGACCACAAGTGGTCCATGGACCACAGGTTGGGAACCACTGGTTTAGGTGGCATTGCATCACCTGACATCCGTCGGGAAGTCACAGCCAGTAATGAAAGGACCACTTTGGCAGGAAAAACGAAATGCAAAGATACAGAATGGGGGATGCCTGGCGCGAGAGCAGTACATGTGACAAAGATCTTGGAGTCCTTGTGGACAACAAGTTAAACATGAGCCAACAATGTGATGTGGCGGCAAAAAAAAGCCAATGGGATTTTGGCCTGCATCAATAGGAGCATAGTGTCTAGATCTAGGGAAGTCATGCTACCCCTCTATTCTGCTTTGGTTAGACCACCCCTGGAATATTGTGTCCAATTCTGGGCACCACAATTCAAGAGAGATATTGACAAGCTGGAATGTGTCCAGAGGAGAGCGACTAAAATGATAAAAGATCTGGAGAACAAGCCCTATGAGGAGCGGCTTAAGGAGCTGGGCATGTTTAGCCTGAAGAAGAGAAGGCTGAGAGGGGATATGATAGCCATGTATAAATATGTGAGAGGAAGCCACAGGGAGGAGGGAGCAAGCTTGTTTTCTGCTTCCCTGGAGACTAGGACGCTGAACAATGGCTTCAAACTACAAGAGAGATTCCATCTGAACATGAGGAAGAACTTCCTGACTGTGAGAGCCGTTCAGCAGTGGAACTCTCTGCCCTGAGTGTGGTGGAGGCTCCTTCTTTGGAAGCTTTTAAACAGAGGCTGGATGGCCATCTGTCAGGGGTGCTTTGAATGCAATTTCCTGCTTCTTGGCAGGGGGTTGTACTGGATGGCCATGAGATTTCTTCCAACTCTATGATTCTATTTTAATGATGGAGTTCAACTACAATAACCAAGGTTGACAGATAGAACTGCTGGGCTTAAATTTATTACTAGTCCTAACAAAAGCAGATTCAATGGATCAATGAACATGCCTTTGGTCAACACTTAGGCTAAAACCCGGAAACTCAATCAGTGGCTGATACCAGATGAGAAACCCCCCTTGCGTACACAGAAGACTGAGCGACTTGGAAGGCGCTGAACAGACTGTGTTTTAGCACCACTATGTGCAGAACCAATCTTAAGAAATTGGGTTAAAAAGTAGAGTCCATGACTTGCGAGTGTGGAGAAGAGCGGTCTACAGACCACTTACTGCAGTGTAGCCTGGCCTCCGCCACATGCACAATGCAGGAGCTTCTTACAGCGACACCAAAGGCACTTGAAGTGTCCCGCTTCTGATCAGAGGAAATTTAGTGTAATCCTGGGTTTTTAACTTTGTGGTTTTTAAAATTAATTATAACTGTGTTCGCTATTTGCTTCTGACACAATAAATAAATAGTAAAAATACATATGTTGATCATATTATTGTGATTTTCTCCAGTGACTTTCTGGTGAAGATTGTGGAGGTAGCTGACAGCAGCAAGCAGAAGACATTTCGAGGACATGATGCCCCTGTTTTAAGCGTTTCGTTTGATCCAAAGGACACTTTTCTGGTAAAGCATTATTTTGTGACATTTTTCTTACTCTCCTAATAGTATATACTCTAATTTTAATGATTTATAAAATGGAATTTGTTTTGTGATTTCTTCACCATTTGTTCAGCTACTCTGATAACATCTGCCCAGCAAAATTGAGAATATGGACTAAGGGATGTACCTTTCTAATGAAGTGACTATGTAAAGATGGCTTTTTTAATTATCGCAATTTTTATTTAATTGAGAAACCATTCAATATCATTCTGGTGGAACAGAATCCATAGATGAAAAATTACATGCCTCTCTTTTTGCTACCTTTTCTTATCTCTTACAACTCCCACAACCTCCTGCAAATACTACCTGTCAGGGATGTGAGAACTGAGTTATAATAGAGACTAAGGGAGAAGTGGAGGTGGACTTGTCATGTGTGAGGGGCTGTTTTGGGTAACCTTTAGAATTTGGCCATATTTTTTATTTATCATGTCAGGGGCAGACCAAACAGTTGCATTGCATTTTTAAACAAACAAACAAACAAACAAAACACAAAGTTTGCCAGCTTGGAGTTGATTAAATGTCCTTTGACCAGTATCTGGCCACTTGGAGTGCCTCTGGTGTTGCCGCAAGAAGGTCCTCCATTGTGCATGTGACAGGGCTCAGGTTGCATTGCAGCAGGTGGTCAGTGGTTTGCTCGTCTCCACACTTGCATGTCGTGGATTCCACTTTGTAGCCCCATTTCTTAAGGTTGGCTCTGCATCTTGTGGTGCCAGAGCAGTCTGTTCAGCGCCTTCCAAGTCGCCCAGTCTTCTGTGTGCCCAGGGGGAGTCTCTCATTTGGTATCAGCCATTGGTTGAGGTTCTGGGTTTGAGCCTGCCACTTTTGGACTCTCGCTTGCTGAGGTGTTCCAGCGAGTGTAGATCTTAGAAAACTATTTCTTGATTTAAGTCGTTGACGTGCTGGCTGATACCCAAACAAGGGATGAGCTGGAGATGTCTCTGCCTTGGTCCTTTCACTATTGGCTGCTACTTCCCGGCGGATGTCAGGTGGTGCAATACCGGCTAAGCAGTGTAATTTCTCCAGTGGTGTAGGGCGCAGACACCCTGTGATAATGCGGCATGTCTTATTAAGAGCCACATCCACTGTTTTAGCGTGGTGAGATGTGTTCTACACTGGGCATGCATACTCAGCAACAGAGTAGCACAGCGCAAGGGCAGATGTCTTCACTGTATCTGGTTGTGAACCCCAGGTTGTGCCAGTCAGCTTTCGTATGATATTGTTTCTAGCACCCACTTTTTGCTTGATGTTCAGGCAGTGCTTCTTGTAGGTCAGAGCACAGTCCAGAGTTACTCCCGGTATTTGGGTGTGCTGCAATGCTCCAGTGGGATTCCTTCCCAGGTGATCCTCAGAGCTTGGGATGTTTGTCTGTTCTTGAGGTGAAAAGCACATTTCTGTGTTTTAGATGGGTTAGGGATCAGCTGGTTTTCCCTGTAATAGGCAGTAAGAGCACCTAGAGCTCTTATTTGGCCATAAGTAGAGGTTAAATATTCATTTTCCCTATGTGATTATCTATAGAGAAAAAAGAATTCTGCTTTATTTCTCAGTTTTTGTTCTCCTTACTACTTCATCACACTAGAGAAAATCCTGTTTCTGCCTACTGCAGAATTCTGGGGTTTGTAGTTTAGTGAGGCTGTTAAAGTCTCCTCCCTAAACTACAAACCTCAGAATTCTGCAGGAGGCAGCAACCCGATTTAAAGTGGATTCATTTTCTAGTGTGATGAGTTCCTTAGAAACCAGGTCTATGCGCTATTATTTTTAAGCGTTATGGTGTGTGGTATTGAGGTATGACAGCATCAGTTTTGAAAAAAGAAATAGAATTCTGTGGGTGTTTGACAAGCAGCATACTTTCAAGATAAAAGGTCACAGCTTGATGCTTTTGCTGTTCTCCTAGATAGCACACTGAGCACATGAAAACAGTAATTTCCTTCAAGTGTATAGTGTAAAGCTGTTGGGAGAGTATAGTTATGTCTTACATATCCGTTTTGTGAAAATAGCTCTCTTACAGGTGTTATTGGATGTTATTTGTGGCACTCACACCTCTGAGAAGGAAATCACAAGTGTCTTTCATGATTACTTGTGCCTGCGTTTTATATTTTCCTATATTGCTTTTATCATGCATCCTAGTATGCTGATTTTAAAGTTCTGCACGTGTCTTTTTCTTGTGCTAGACTGTATGCCTTCTGCATTCTGGAGAAAAATAGGTTGCTATCAGAATTACCGCCATCATTTTCTCTAGTATGCATTGAGATAGAGAGATTGCATGTACTTAGCCCTTTGTGAAAAGAATTATAGCATCTTAAAGTCCTGTGGCATTTTACATGTGTTAAGTGACGTAGTATACAATTTTGTTTTTGAAGTTGATTGAGTCTTATTCAGGTGACTTAAACCATACTTGTTTCATGTTTCATATCAGTAGACTTTTTTTACTGGATGCTTCATAGGAAATCTGCTACAAAACAGGAACTTTTTTGTTGAGTTCCAGAGCCAGAGAAGCATATGGTGAAAAAAGAAAACAGGAGCTTTTTTGTTGAGTTCCAGAGTCAGAGAAGCAGATGGTGAAAAAAGAAGAAAGGCCTGCCCCATGGCAGGGGAACATGCTTGCTCTATCAATCTTCAACATTTACACAAGTGACCAGCCATTGCCAGAAGGGGCAGAGAGTTTCATCTACGCTGACGATTGTGTCATCACCACTCAAGCAGGGAGCTTTGAAATGGTTGAACAGAAGCGCTTCAAAGCTTTAGGTGCTTTTACTGCCTTTTACAGGAAAAAACAGCTGATTCCTAATCTATCTAAAACACAGACATGTGTCTTTCACCTTAAGAACAGACAAGCATCTTGAGCTCTGAGAATTACCTGGGAAGGAATCCCACTGGAGTATTGCAGCACACCCAAATCCCTGGAAGTCACTCTGGACAGTGCTGTGACTTACAAGAAGCACTGCTTGAATATCAAATAAAAAGTGGGTGCCAGAAATAATATCATATGAAAGCTGACTGGCACAACCTGGGGGTCACAGCCAGACATAGTGAAGACATCTGCCCTTGCGCTTTGCTGCTCTGCTGCTGAATACGCATGCCCAGTTTGGAACACATCTCACCACATTAAAACAGTGGACGTGGCTCTTACTGAGACAAGCCGCATTATCACAGGATGCCTACACTCTACACCACTGGAGAAGTAGCAGGAAGTAGCCACCTGCCACCAGGAAGTAGCAGCCAGCAATGAAAGGATCAAGTCAGTGACATCTCCGGCCCATCCTCTGTTCAGATATCAGCCAGCATGCCAACATCTTAAATCAAGAAATAGCTTTCTATGATCTATAGAGATACTTGCAGGAACATCTCAGCAAGCAAGAGTCCAAAAGTGGCAGGATAAAACCCAGAATCAGTGCCTGTGACCGGATGAGAGACTCCCCCCCCCCCCCCCCCCCCCCCCCCGGGCACACAGAAGACTGGGCGACTTGGGAGGCACTGAACAGACTCTGCTCTGGCACCACAAGATGCAGAGTCAACCTTAAGAAATGGGGCCACAAAGTAGAGTTCATAACATGCAATTGTGGAGATGAGCAAACCACAGACCACGTACTACCATGCAACCTGAGCCCTGCTACATGCACAATGGAGGACATTCTTATAGCGACAATAGAGGCACTCTTAAGTTGCCAGCTTCTGGTCAAAGGAAATCTAGCATAATACTAAGTTTTAAACTTTGTTTGTGTCTTTTAAAATAGATTATAACTACTGCTTCTAACATGATAAATAAATACATATTGGAAAGGTAGCTAGGTTTCCTCTTAGTGGGGCCCTGCATATCAGGACCACATCTGGGAATCACTGTGCTGTTTTAAAGATAAATTTTAATGCAGCAGTATTTGTTACTCCATTGCTTTAATAATGCTTTAAAACGTTCCCTTCTATAGGCCACAGCAAGTTGTGATGGATCTGTCCGCGTGTGGAATATTTCAGAACAGGTAAAATCTGTTTCTAGAATCTGACTGTAAATGCTGCTTTAATGACATTGGGAATTTCTCTCATTTCTACATTGACTTTATTGAGTTGTAGATGTTGTATTATTCCTGTTTGAATATTAGCATTTTTGGAGCATAGATGTCAGTGCCTGTTGGGTTTTATTTTACTCTTGTGAAAGAAATGTATTATTGTTCTGCTTTTCCAAAAACAGATCACTTGAAAAACTGTACAGTGAACTCCCCTCTCTACAAAAGAAGTCACTGAGTGAATGTCAATCAGTTGCTCTTCACAGAAATTAATTTTAATTTGATTCACATAGTATGAGATCTACTTTTAGCAGTGGCAAATCTCTTTTTTTATGAAGGTTTGCTTGCCATTCCTGGTCTTGTTAAGAAACTGCTGAAACTGCTGAAAAGTATCCTAAAACTTTCAGAACAATTAGAAAATTGCTATATAAGAAAAGTAGCGATTAATAATACGTAAGATGTTAGTATGACAAGGGTTTGGACTGGTTGGCCCTTGTGGTCTCTTGCAACTCTGTGATAGGTGTATTGATTAGGGTAATTATCAACAGTACAGCACTCTTATGTCAGGTTAAGAGAATGCAATTTTAGATGCCTCATGCTCAGCAAGATTACTGAGCAAAAAAATTATTTCGTGATGGGATGTACCACACTATTCACACTCCTTTCGTTTTGAATTTCAAAAGATTGAGCATCAAATTGAATAAACACCATGAATCTATTTTACTTCTAGACTTGTGAAACAAGCTGGCCATTGCTACAGAAGTGTAATGATGTGGTGAATGCAAAATCAATATGTAGACTCTCCTGGCAACCAAAAACAGGAAAGGTAATGCATTCTCTTTCTCTCTTGAGCTCTGTGAAGGTGCGCATATAGATTTGGAAAAGTAAATGGATGGGGGCAAGGTTAAGAACCCCTTTCTGCATTTGCTATTTCAATGGGCACGTAGTATTAACTGTGGTTTGGTTCCAGGATACCAAAATCTGTGGGTACTCAAGTCGCATTAAATATATTGCGGCTGGTTGGGGACGAGGAATTCACGCACTTAGAAATGGAATCCACACACTTACTAAAAACTTCTTGCTCCTTGTCTTGCTAGCTGCTAGCTGTTCCAGTTGAGAAAGTCATTAAACTGTACAAAAGAGAAACTTGGCATCATCATCTGGATCTGAAGGATGATTTCATTACACAGGTCGGTATCATTTGAATACTGCTGTTTAATTTGAATATGTTATTAGGAGAAATAATAAAAAATGTTTATTATTTCTTAATGGTTAGAGGGGTTTCCCTAAGCGGGTTAGTTTTTCAGCAAGTGTAGTGTTTGAGAGAGCCAGAGAGACTGGAATAGAGAGAAAATGAGAGTTTGATTGTAGAAAGATTTCATTTATACCTGCACTTGGGGTCTATTTGCTGCCTGGGATCTGATTGCAGCTGGCATTCTCGGTTGTAGATATCATAAATAAGTAATCACAATGATGCTATAAGCTTCAACTGTAAAGGTTGCCCTGACAGGTAAATTCATCCCAGTATTACAGCCCTTAGATGTCTCATTTCTTGGGGGAGTAAGTAACACAATGAAATAGGTTGCCTGTTAGATTTAACATCCATTCAAGTGGCAAAGTGGAATCTGGGTTGCTGAGTTCAGATCTGGCCACGGTGGTCCACGCTCTTGTTACATCCCGGATAGATTACTGCAACGCACTCTACGTGGGGTTGCCTTTGAAGATTGTTCGGAAACTTCAATTAGTCCAGCGGGAGGCAGCCAGATTGCTCACCGGAGCGTCATACAGGGAGCATACCACCCCCCTGTTATGTCAGCTCCACTGGCTGCCGATCCAGTTCCGAGCACAATTCAAAGTGCTGGTTTTGACCTACAAAACCCTATATGGTTCCGGCCCAGCGTATCTGTCCGAACGCATCTCCCTTTACGTCCCATCTCAGAGTCTGAGATCCTCTGGGGAGGCCCTGCTCTCGGCCCTGCCTCTGTCACAAGTGAGATTGGCGGGGACGAGGAGCAGGGCCTTCTCAGTGGTGGCCCTCACCTATGGAATTCACTCCCCGGGGAAATTAGATCAGCAACATCCCTCCTTTCCTTCAGAAAGAAATTAAAAACATGGATGTGGGACCAGGCGTTTGGGCAATCTGGCAGATGAATAAAGGACTGTGACGACGGATAGGAATTGGACAAGGTGGAACGAAATATGGACTCTGAGTTGGTGAACACTGTGTCTGAGATTGGCTATTGATTGTGAGATATATTGTTGTTTTAATTGTTTTAATTGTTGACTATTTAATTGCTGGTTTTTTTTATATGTTATTGTATTTGTGTAGGCACCAAGATGTGCCTTTTTGGAAGCCGCCCTGAGTCCCCCCTCGAGGGTTGAGAAGGGCGGGATAGAAGTATACAAAATAAAAATAATAAATTTTCCGGGCTGTATGGAGAGAATGCTTCTGGAACATAGCCATACAACACGGAAAACTCTCAGCAACTCAGCAATTCCGACCATAAAATTATTATTATTATTATTTGGTTTACTTGTACCCCGCCCTTCTCACCCCGAAGGGGACTCAGGGCGGCTTACACATCCAAGGCACAATTCGATGCCCATAGCATACATCAATAATAACAATACAACAAAATAACAAATTAGCAAACAACAACAATACATTGCATCTAACCCATTAAAACCAATAAAACCAGTAAAATTCCATACAAACCGATACAAACCGCTTCTTCCTTATTGCCAGTCAATGTTCACTATCTCATGGTTCAGAGTTTTCTTCCACATTTATCAGTCCACATATATCAGTCCTGCCGGTCCTAATTGCCTGGTTGTCCTATCTAGTTAGCAGATTGCCCGAAGGCCTGGTCCCACAACCACGTCTTTGCCTTCCTCCTAAAGGACAGGAGTGATGTCGATGCCCTGATATCCACTGGGAGTGAGTTCCACAGGTGGGGGGCCACCACTGAGAAGGCCCTGCTCCTCGTCCCCACCAGCCTTGCTTGGGAAAGCGGTGGAGTCGAGAGCAGGGCCCCCTCAGATGATCTTAAATTCCGTGGTGGGACGTAGAGGGAGATACGTTCGGACAGATACGCTGGACCGGAACCGTACAGGGTTTTATAGGTCAAGACCAGCACCTTGAATTGGGCTCGGAACTGAACTGAATACAAGCCTTTGACAACACAAAGTGGAATCTATTTGAATTTATAGACAACTGGAAATACATTCTGAACCTTCCAACTGATTTTTAAAAAAATATCTTTTTTCATCCATCACAAAGATGATAAAAGAAAATCCTGTCTTCCTATATTTCTCTTTTTATTTTGCCCAAAAAATCCCACAAAGCACTGATAATGACAACAATATGAATCCAAAATTGAGGACAAGATTATTCCAAGCTAACAACAGATATTTTCCTTTTGCCTGCTAGACCCTCAATGTTGTAGCTTGGTCTCCATGTGGACAGTATGTGGCAGCTGGAAGTATCGATGGCTGTATAGTGATTTGGAAGATGGATACCCAGGAGTGCCTAGAGAGGTACCAGTTTATTTTCATAGCATTTCTTGTATAAGGGACACTTAGTTCTCTTGACAGCTTTTGTGGATTATCATATATACTTGAATGTAAGCCGAGTTTTCAGCCCTTTTTAAGGCTGAAAAAGGCTCCCTTGGCTTATATTCGAGTCAAAGTTATTTATTACTAGCCGTCCCCTGCCATGCGTTGCTGTGGCCCAGTCAGTGTATATGTGTTTTGTGTGTGCATTTATTTGTGTATATATGTGTGTGTTTGCGCGTATATATATATATATATATATATATATATATATATGTGTGTGTGTGTGTGTGTGTGTGTGTGTTTTTGTGTATTTGTGTGTTTATATGTGTAAATGCATATTGTGTATATGTGTGTGTCTATATGAATTTGTGTGAATATTTGTGTGTATGTGCATGTATATATGTATATTGTGTCATTATGTTTGGTCTACTGCTTTTTTTCTTTATGTTTTGTGTATATTGTTTATATGTTTTATACTTTAATGCTTTGTTGTTTATTTTATTGCAATTTGTATCTTATTTTATTGTAATTTGTTGTTTGGGCTTGGCCTCATATAAGCCGCCCCGAATCCCTGTTGGGGGAGATGGGTAAAAATAAATATGATGATGATGATGGTGATGATGATTATTATTATTATATGTATGTGTGCATGTGTATATTTGTGTGTGTTTGTGCATATATATATATACGTGTGTGTGTGTATGAATGTGTGCATGTGTATATGTATATGAGTGTATTTGTATATGTATATATGGTGTATTTTTTGGATTTTTAAGTCTGTTCCATTGGGGTTGTGTGTGTGTGTGTGTATGTTTGGGGGTGATGGACACTCGCTGGACTGTTAGGTGTATTGTGTCCAAATTTAGTGACAATTTGTCCATTGGTTTTTGAGTTATGTTAATCCCACAAACATTACATTTCTATTTATATAGATTTTACTCTGTTATTTTTATTATTTTTATTACATTTATTATTTTACATTATTATTATTATTATTATTATTATTATTATTATTATTATTACATTGATTATATTACTCTATTGTTATCATTACATTTATTATTGTACTATTATTGTTATTATTACATTTATTATTGTACTATTATTGTTATTATTACATTTACATTGTTAAACCTATTTATTAGTGTTATTATTACATTGATTATATTACTCTATTGTTATTATTACATTTATTATTTTACCCTATTTATTATTGTTATTATTACATTTATGTTGTTTTAATCTATTTGTTAGTATTATTATTACATTTAATATTTTACTCTATTATTATTATTATTATTACATTTCCATTATTATTTTAATATATTATTATTTTATATTTATTATTTTACTCTCTTTATTATTACTGGAAAGATACGTAAGCACCTTTACACTGAAGAAGGTTGGAATAATGATTTAATCAGAGTTGGACAGTCTTATCTTAAATTACAGTTTTATGTAAATATTCAAAAACATTTAATCTACTGATGCCTCAGTTAATGTTATTTTATTGGTATCTATTTTTATTTTGAAATTTACCAGTAGCTGCTGCATTTCCCACCTCGGCTTATTCTCGAGTCAATATGTTTTCCCAGTTTTTTGGTGGTAAAATTAGGTGCCTTGGTTTACATTTAGATCATCTTATACTTGAGTATAAACAGTAATCTACAGGTGAAACAGTTTATCATGGGACAGCCTCCCTTTCATTTCCTGAGGCCTTGGCTCATTCTCTTACATCAAATCAGAATTCAGCCTGAAATCTGTAACAGACTCTGATTCTTAATGCTTCATCACATTGTGTCATGCTTACTGTTAGCCATTTTGAGTCCCTATATTGGAAGGTGGGATAAAAATAAATTAGATAAAATTAAAAGGTTGTATAAATAAGATGAAATAGGTGCTTTGAATGCGATTTTCCTGCTTCTGTCAGGGGTGATTTGAAAGCAATATTCCTGCTTCTTGGCAGGGGGTTGGACTGGATGGCCCACCAGGTCTCTTCCAACTCTATGATTCTATAATTCAATAAATAAATAAATAAATAAATAAACAAGACAGCAAAGCCTAGAGAAGACAATGATGCTGGGGAAAGTGGAAGGTAAAAGGAAGAGGGGCCGACCAAGGGCAAGATGGATGGATGGCATCCTTGAAGGGACTGGACTGACCTTGAAGGAGCTGGGGGCGGTGACGGCCGACAGGGAGCTCTGGCGTGGGCTGGTCCATGAGGTCACGAGGAGTCGGAGACGACTGAACAAATGAACAACAACAACAATAAATAAATAAGATTAAATAAATATAAATAAGATGAGAGACCCCATTTAACTGATATTGGAATGGCATCTTCAGCCAGGTTTAGTGAAACCTTGTTTGGTTCCTGAACTTACTTTACTTACTTAGGTGATCCCTCGCTTTCCGAGGATGATTGTCTTCCAGTGTTCTTGTGGGTTCGTATGTGGCTGTGGAGCCCTATTCTTGCTCTGCATCTTCTTCCGCAGTGAGGGCATTGGTTTCCAGGTGGAAGGCTTGACGCCCCTTCCTCTTGGCACGCTTCTCCCTTTTGCCCTCCATTCGTGCCTCTTCAAATTCTGCAGCACTGCTGGTCACAGCCGACCTCCAGCAGGAGCAGTCAAGTGCCAGGGCTTCCCAGTTCTCAGTGTCTATGCCAGAGTTTTTAAGGTTGGCTTTGAGCCCATCTTTAAATCTCTTTTCCTGTCCACCAACATTCCGTTTTCCATTCTTGAGTTCGGAGTAGAGCCACTGCTTTGGGAGAAGGTGGTCGGGCATCCAGACAACGTGGCTGGTCCAGTGGCGTTGATGGCGGAGGACCATCACTTCAATGCTGGTGGTCTTTGCTTCTTCCAGCACGCTGACTACTGTGTTGCAGTGAATGAACTATTGAAAGAACCCAAAGAAACATGGCCTGAAATCCCTCTTTCGCACGTGAGAACCATTCACTAGTTCTTATTTAAGCCTGTTGTTGTTCATTCGTTCAGTCGTCTCCGACTCTTCGTGACCTCATGGACCAGCCTACGCCAGAGCTCCCTGTCGGCTGTCACCACCCCCAGGTCCTTCAAGGTCAGTCCAGTCACTTCAAGGATGCCATCCATCCATCTTGCCCTTGTAAGCCTACTGTATAGAATTCTTGGGAGAAAATAGCAAATATATCTGAAATGATCATGTATTGTTCCTCTGTATGAATGCATCTATTGCAAACCACTCTTTGGTTAACTCTATTTTTGTAGACCAAAGACATTTTCCATCCTTGCAACTATTGTGAAAGAGAGTGTTTTTTAAACCACAGGCTCTTATGCAACTCTAATGTTTTCATTATTTATGCTGTTTTTTTAAAAGGGTGAAACATGAAAAGCGTTATACCATCTGTGGGCTGGCATGGCACCCGAAGGGAGGTCAAATTGCTTATACAGACCTGGAAGGCAACCTGGGATTAATTGAAAGTGTCTGTGATGTGGATGGAAAGAAATCACACAAAGCGGTAATACACATTATCATCCTTTTTTCTTCTTTTTTTTTTGGCCTGGTGTAAATCTCAAGTATTGTGGACTGAGTATACAGTTCCATATTTTATTGATGTTGAACTTGGCAATCTATTATTGTTTTAAACTGTTTTAATGAAGTTTTATACTTATCATCAATGTATATGACTATTGTTTACATGATTTTAATATGTTGTAAGCCGCTTTGGGTCCTGTGATGGAAAAAAATTGGATATAAATAAAGAATAATAATAATAATAATAATAATAATAATAATTATTATTATTATTTGAAACACAACAAGATGAGTCCACAGCAGATACTCTGCTGGTTGTTGAATTGGATCACACGTTGGACACTTCCCAAGTGTCTAGGACTGTGTGATGTATCGGCGAATAATGCGTGCAGATCCCAGTAAGGTGGCCTTCTGCAGTTGGCAGATGGTAATCTTGTCAGCGCCGATTGTGTTTTAGTGCAGGCCAAGGTCTTTAGGCACTGCACCCAATGTGCTGATCACCACTGGGACCACCTTGACTGGCTTGTACCAGAGCTTTTGCAGTTCGATCTTTAAATCCTCATATCGTGTCAGCTTTTCCAGTTGTTTCTCTGCCATCCTGTCACTTGGGATTGCGACATCAACGATCCATACTTTGTTTTTTTACACAATCGTGAGGTCAGGAGTCTTGTGCTCCAAAACTCTGTCTGTCTGAATCCAGAAGTCCCAGAGGAGATTGGTGTGTTCATCCTCTGTAACTTTTTCCGGCTTGTGATCCCACCAGTTCTTTGTCGCAGGCAGATGGTATTTGTGGCACAGATTCCAATGAATCATCTGAGCAACGGTGTTGTGCCTCTGCTTGTAGTCTGTCTGCGCGATCTTCTTGCAGCAGCTGAGGATGCCATCTATTGTTTCATCTGCTTCCTTGCAGAGCCTACCTTTGGGATCTGTTGTTGACTTTTCCATTCTGGCTTTGATGGCATTGGTTCTAATGGCTTGTTCTTGGGCTGCCAGAATCAGGCCCTCCTTTGTCTCCTTTTTCAGAGTTCGATTTGTGAGCCACAGCCATGTTTTTTCTTTGTCAATTTGGCTCTCAATTTTTCCCAGGAACTGTCCAGGGACAGCCTTCTTTTGCCAGTTTTCTTTTCTGCTCTGGATTGTGTTTCTACAGTATTTACTCTTTGTCTTTGTTTTAATGAAGTTTTATATTATCATCAATGCATCAAGAGGAGCCTAGTGTCTAGATCTAGGGAAGTCATGCTACCCCTCTATTTCGCATTGGTTAGACCACACCTGGAATATTGTGTCCAATTCTGGGCACCACAATTCAAGAGAGATATTGACAAGCTGGAATGTGTCCAGAGGAGGGCGACTAAAATGATCAAGGGTCTGGAGAACAAGCCCTATGAGGAGCGGCTTAAGGAGCTGGGCATGTTTAGCCTGAAGAAGAGAAGGATGAGAGGAGATATGATAGCCATGTATAAATATGTGAGAGGAAGCCACAGGGAGGAGGGAGCAAGCTTGTTTTCTGCTTCCCTGGAGACTAGGACGCGAAACAATGGCTTCAAACTACAAGAGAGGAGATTCCATCTGAACATGAGGAAGAACTTCCTGACTGTGAGAGCCGTTCAGCAGTGGAACTCTCTGCCCCGGAGTGTGGTGGAGGCTCCTTCTTTGGAAGCTTTTAAACAGAGGCTGGATGGCCATCTGTCAGGGGTGATTTGAATGCAATATTCCTGCTTCTTGGCAGGGGGTTGGACTGGATGGCCGATGAGGTCTCTTCCAACTCTTTGATTCTATGATTCTATGATATGATTATTGTTTACATGATTTTAATATGTTGTAAGCCGCTTTGGGTCCTGTGATGGAGAAGAATCAGATATAAAGATTTATTATTATTATTATTATTATTATTATTATTATTATTATTATCATCATCATTTAAAATAGTTAACATTTAAATTTTGTCTCCAGGCATCAGTTTCCACTACCAAAGACTATGATGATCTTTTTGATGAGGATGATAATGAAGATTTTCTGAATAGAGACATGGATGATGTTGACTGGGGTTCAAAACCAGTCAGAAATGACGAAGAAGAGGACGATGACCTTCTGATGGCATCAGGACGACCCAGAAACAAAGGCGCAAGAATAGAGGATGATGAGAATTCCCTAGGTTAGAATTTCTGTACAAGTGGGATGGAGGAGTAGGGATGGGTTTAGAATTGATGCTGTCACTCTAGCTACCAGCACCTTCTAGAAGCTGCAGAAAATGGTTAAACTCTCATCGCAGGCTTATCTGTCTTTCACAGACACTGGAGTGCTGAAAGCCGATTCTGTCCACGATAAAGACGATGATGAAGAAAGCCTAGCTCCAGTCCAGCCACTCTCTTCAACCCAGAGACCATTCTATGACGGACCAGTGCCAACACCTCGGCAAAAGCCATTCCAGGCTGGTTCCACCCCAGTGCATCTCACACATCGCTTCATGGTAAGTTTCACTTTTCATTGTTTCATTGGCTGTTATGTGCCTGCTTGTCTTGAAATCCTCTTTGACTGCTCTTCCATCTATCAACCTCACAATTACATTTGGTGGGTCCATGGAAAAAGGCCTTCTTAGTGGCTGCTCCCAGGCCTTGAAACTCCCTTTTTAGAGAGTTTGGATTGGCCTTCCTTGCTGTCCTTCTCTTGGCAGACCTTTGAGGGCTTGACCGCTCAAGGCAAAAGGTAATTTTGTGTCCTGTGTACTGTTTATATTTGTGGACCTTGCTTCCAAAAGGTACCAAATCCATCTGAATAAATTTTACAGAAAACAGAGTCCTGTATTTATTTATTTATTTGCTACATTTGTATACCGCCCCTCTCAGCCCGTAGGCGACTCGAGGCGGTTCACAAGGCAACAGTTCAATGCCAACAACATCATTAAAACATTAAAAAGCATTAGCACATCAATTAAAACCATAACAAACATTTCGTCTCCTAGATAAAAACATAATCCAAATTCATAGTTCAATTGTTCCATAATTCTATGTCTAATTGCACTGCCTTTTCAAACGCCTGCTCGAATAGCCAGGTTTTGATTTTTTTTTTCCGGAAAATCAAAAGGGAGGCGGGCTGATCTAATGTCCCTAGGAAGAGCATTCCATAGCCGAGGGGCCACCACTGAGAAGGCCCTGTCTCTCGTCCCCGCCAAATGTATTTGTGAGGCAGACAGAGTTGAGAGCAGGGTCTCCTCAGACGATCTTAACATCCTAGATGGTTCATAAGGGGAGATGCGTTCGGACAGGTACTGAAGTGATTTGATACATTTTGATCGTTTTGATTTGTACATATTATTGTACTCCTAACCAACAATGGGCTGCCACCTGTAACTCATTTTTCAATTTGGGGGGGGGGGGGGGGGATTTGTTTCCGTTTGGAAACAAATTCCACTTTTGATCTTTTTCTTTTTAATGATTCCCCTTTTAACTGTTTTTAATTTTGTTTAAAGTACATTTTGTGTGATGTGATTTATTTCACTGTATCTGTTTTAGCTTTTGTAGCCTGGTGGAGAGGTGGCTGCCAAGGTAATGGAAAAGGTCCACATTTTCTAATGTTACACCATTAAGCTGTATCTTTGGCATTGGAGAGGGATTGGCTGGTGACGGCTGGAAGAGCACTTTGGTTTTCTCGATGTTCAGTGACAGGCCGAGCTTCTCGGATGCTTCTGCGAAGGTGTTTAGAGTGTCTTGTAGATCTTCTGAATGCGCACAGGCGACATTGTCATCAGCATACTGGAGTTCTATAACATGTTGTAACCTTGCTTTTGGCTTTCAGTCTGCTGAGGTTAAACAGCTTGCCATCTGTCCAATAGATGATAGTGCCCTTGACTGTGGAACTCCCTGTGCAAGAAAGTTGGTCTAGCACCATTTCTTGTAAGCTTCTAGAAGGCAGCCAAAACATTGCTGTTCCTCATGGCATTCAATATTTGAAAATGCTGTTTTAATTGTATTCTGGAACTATTTTTAAATTGATTTTAGGATTTTTAATGAGTATTTGAATGTGTTTTAAAGATGTTTTAACTGGTTTTGACTTTTTCATCACCTTGGCAATCCTTCCAGGCTAGTAGGTGATACAGAAATACTTGAAATAAATAAACAAATGTTTGTCTTGAGCAAAATCAGGTGTTGTATATTTTAAACATTCATACCTTGCCTTTCCTCAACCAGTTTTGACATCCTGTTTGTAGGTTTGGAATTCTGTTGGTATCATACGCTGCTATAATGATGAGGAAGATAATGCTATTGATGTTGAATTCCACGACACTGCCATACATCATGCAATGCACTTGCCAAATTCTTTGAACCACACGCTGGCTGACCTTTCCAGGGAAGCCATTTTGCTAGCCTGCGAGAGCACAGAGGAGCTCCCAAGGTAAGCCAGTTTATGTCTATGTGGAGGATAACTTGGAAGGATCGGCTTTGACATGTTTACTGGCAAGGGGTGGAGACAGTCAGGATGAAATGATAACATCTCGCACTTGTTAGGCATATGTCAACTCTTGGGATAATGTAGGTTGTGTTTCCGGCAAAACTGAAAGTAAACAGCAGAGGGATTAAGAAGAGGCAGAATTGCCTACTTTAAGCCGCTCTGAGTCCCCTTCAGGGTGGGGTATAAATATAGTAAATAAGTAAATAAATGTATTGTTGGAGGTTTGCATGGCCACAATCACTGGGGTGGTGTGTGATTTTTGGGCTGTATGGTCATGTTCTAGCAGCATTTTCTCCTGACGTTTTGCCTGCATCTGTGGCTTTCAACTTTTGAGGATCCTCTGAGGATGCTTGCCACAGATGCAGGTGAAACGGCTGTATGGTCATGCTATAACATGACCATACAGCCTGGAAACCATACAAGACTCCAAAGGGAAAATTAATGAATGTAAAAATGTGTTGGGGTTCAGCCTGCGTGTGAACCTGAACCTGATTCTCTGATACCTGAACCTGAACCTGATTCTCTGATTGTATTTCCTGATGCTACTGAACATGTATTTTTCCCTGATGGTAATGAAAATGTTGATACTGAGGTCAGTGGCTTGGAAAGTGAAACTACACATTCTGATGAGAATGTTGCAGAACCAAGCGGTGATAGCTCTCCAGAGGAGTTAACGCCTGGCTTCCTTGGTGAGGATAGAAAAAGTCAGATTTGGAAAAACAGGAGTGAATCGCAGAGTCTGCGAAGGTCAAGCAGATTAAGGGAAAAGGAAACACAGGCTTCAAAGCCTGGAGGCGTGTCACGAAACAGTTTCTTCAGTTTTAAGTGCCTCTCGCCGGGTTGTCTCGTTAGATCAGGCATCGTTTAGACTGAGGCATTACCTTGGCAGATTTCCCGTTTCCCGTGGCCTACATCCCAAGAGGCTTCTAGTGCTCCAAGTACGGTTAGTGGATTGCTAACAGGTTCCAGGTTTTTACAGTGTTGCTTTTGGATATTGATCTAGTTCATGGATATTCTTGACTGCTGAATTTTACTGTGGCTTTTTGACTTTGCATTTTCTTCTATTTTGTAACCATTTTTCATCAATAAAAAGGGATTGTTTTCCCCCACAGTCAAGTGTGGTGGATTGTTATCCAAAGGTCTCGTTTCCTGCTCTGGGTTGCAACAAATCCCTTAATATCTGATTTTCAGATTCCTTAATATACTTTGAATATATTCGTTATTCAGGTAAACTTCTTCGTTTTTAAATAAAAACAGAACAGTAGAGCCCAGTGTTTGTGTTTAACTCAATGTTGAGTTGAACTCAGCTGCTTGTATCAGCCAGACTGAGTTTGAAGCCAGCCCAGGTCAGAGTGAGCTTCTGACCAATTTTGTATAGCTTGCTGTCGACCTTTGCAGCCCAAAAGACAGTTGCATCTGTCAAGTAGGAAATTTAGGTACCGCTTTTGTGGGGAGGCAAATTTAACTAATTTACGATGCCGTAAAAATCTCCAGCAAGCATGCGAAGAATGAGGAAGTACTTCATCAGTATCACAAATGGTTGTTGAAGGGACAGCTCCCCTGGTGGCCAGAATATGCTCAAGAAAAGCTGGAATGTTAAATTGCCTCTGTGTGTCTGTCTATATAAGTTGTGTGTCTATGGCAATGAATGTTTGCCATGTATATGTACATTGTGATCTGCCCTGAATTATTATTATTATTATTATTATTATTATTATTCACTTTATTTATACCCCGCAAAATCTCCCGAAGGACTCGATGCGGCCTACAATCCACTGTGGGGGAAGAAGGGTGGAATATAAATACTGTAAAACTTTAAACCGGGGGCCAGTTCACTGTCCCTCAGACCATTGGAGGGCCGGACTATAGTTTTTTAAAAAAAATCAATTAAAAAAACTCCTATGCACATTGCACATATCGTATTTTGCTGTGTGGAAGGGCCCTTAGAGGGGGTTCTTTCTAACTCTCTTTAGGCAGTAATTCCAAGAGCAGAGAATGGGAAATATTCCTATTTCTAGTCTGAACAAAATCTGGCTACAAGTATTAAAAAAACTCTAAAATTATAACTGTAAATAAAGAACAACACTCAAACACAGGGGAACTCCAGACAAGAAACAATCAGGGCCAGCTAATCACCTCTCAACAAAGGATTCTCCCTAAAAACTGTCAGGCTATGAAATGGTAATCAAGGTGGCCAATTGAAACATTCATACCTACCTCCAACAGACAAGAGTTCTTTCTCCCACCCTGGATCTTCCACAATTTTCCTAGTTAAAGGTTTTCCTCTGACATGAAGTCCAGTCGTGTCTGACTCTGGGGTGTGGTGCTCATCTGCATTTCTAAGTCAAAGAGCCGGCGTTGTCTGTAGACACCTCCAAGGTCATGTGGCCGGCATGACTGCATGTAGCGCCGGGGCAGCTTCTCTTGTCTGGCTCACATTGCCCATCGGGCCTGACGGATAGCGTGAGCCTGCCAAGGGAGGGGCACTGTGGGGGGGGCGCTCCTCCTCCACGGGCCGGATAAGTGCCCTTGGCGGGCCGGAAGTGGCCCACGGGCCTTAGTTTGGGGACCCCCTGCTATAAATAAATAAATAAATGCAAAATGAAGATTCTGATCCTTGAACATCCCTTAATTCATGTTGCTGTTTCTCCCCTTTCACCTTTAGCAAGCTTCACTGCATCCATTTTAACTCCTGGGACTCCAACAAAGAATGGACTGTGGACATGCTGCAGGGCGAAGAGGTGGAAGCCATTTGCCTGGGCCGCGGCTGGGCTGCCTGTGCCACCAGCTCCCGCCTGCTTCGCGTGTTCACCATTGGGGGAGTCCAGAAAGAGATTCTCAGCCTCCCCGGCCCTGTGGTGACAATGGCAGGCCATGGAGAGCAACTCCTGGTGATATTTCACAAAGGTGCTTCCCCTATCTTGTTTCTCTTCCCTTTTATTTAAATATTTACTATAGTTAGTGGTTCAAAGGTTTGTAAGCTGCTCATAAGATCCTCTTGAGTATTCCTTGCCTAGAAAACTTGCTTTGACATGAATTGGTTTATTTATTTATTATTTATTTACGGTATTACTAGCCCATCTTTCTCAGCCTAACGCGACTCAAAGAGGCTCACGGATTGGCAGCAATTTGATGCCACACATTCATAAAAATACAATTAAAACATTAAGCATAAACATGATAAAAACCATATTTTTTTAAAAAAACATTTAAAATGCCCTTGGATGCACTTTATTTTATCCACTAGTGCAATTAGTCCCATTGTTTCGTCCCATTTGATCCTCCTCCTAGATATGCTATATTGCTCATCTCAGCCAGTGTTTTTCAACTTTTTAATATTTGCAACTGGCCCTGCCCATTGTGTTCACTTATTGTGATTTTATATTGCACTGTGTGTTTACTTTGTATTTTTTTTTTGTATTTTTATTTTTAATATATTTTATTGCTGTATTTTTTATGTTGTATTTTTGCATTGCTGTAATTGCTGGGCTTGGCCTCATGTAAGCCTCCTCGAGTCCCCTTGGGGAGATGGTAATGGGGTAATAAATTATTATTATTATTATATAATCAGTGTCGTCCTGTTAAACTCATTATCCATTAACATCGTTGACCATAAGTCGACAGGCAACTTTAATGCAAGTACATAGGGGGCCGCTGTAACACAATGGGTTAAACCCTTGTGCTGCTGAACTGCTGACCTGAAGGTAGGCAGTTCAAATCCGCGAGTCGGGGTGAGCTCCTGCTGTTAGCCCCAGCTCCTGCCAACCTAGCAGTGCAAATGTGATTAGATCAATAGGTACTGCCTTGGCGGGAAGGCAAATAGGTGCCTTAAGCAATCATACTGGCCACACGACCAGGAGGTGACTATGGACAAGACAGGCTCCTTGGCTTGGAAATGGAGATGAACACCTCCCCCAAAGCTGGAGTTGAGCATTGCTTCCAGAAGCCAGAGATGAAAGGGGAAGCCTTTGCTTTTGTCTTTGTATGTGAATTTCTGTCTCACTGTATCAAGGCATTGAATGCTTGCCTGTGTTTGTGTGTGTGTGTGTGTGTGTGTGTGTGTGTGTATATATATATATATATATATATATATATATAGCTAGTTAGCTACTTGAACATATAAAATGAAACTTTGAGCTGTTCTGTATTCCTTCGGATTCATATTGATCACTTTCCCCTTTTTTTAGGTACTGGCTTTGAAGGGGATCAGAATCTTGGGATACAGCTTATTGAATTTGGAAGAAAAAAGAGACAAGTTTTACATGGTGACCCGCTTCCCCTATCTAAGAAATCGTACGCAACATGGTTAGGATTTTCAGCAGAAGGTAAGATCTCACTCCCCGCTCCCTTTTTTTTTATTTAGACATATCAATATTTGCAGGGACCTAACAGAAGCTGAAGAGATCAAGAGAAGGCGAGACTATACAGAAGATCTGTATAGGAAGGATAATAATATCGAGGATAGTTTTGACGGTGTGGTGAATCAATTAGAACCAGACATCCTGAGGAGTGAGGTTGAATGTGCCTTAAGAAGCATTGCTAACAACAAGGCAGCAGGAACTGTTTAAAATCTTAAAAGATGATGCTGTCAAGGTGATGCATGCCATATGCCAGCAAATATGGAAAACCCAAGAATGGCCATCAGACTGGAAAAAATCAACTTATATCCCCATACCAAAAAAGGGAAATGCGAAAGACTGCTCAAACTTCCGTACAGTGGCCCTTATTTCTCATGCCAGTAAGGTAATGCTCAAGATCCTGCAAGGAAGACTCCAGCAAGACATGGAGCGAGAGTTGCCAGATGTTCAAGCTGGGTTTAGAAAAGGCAGAGGAACGAGAGACCAGACTGCCAATATCCGCTGGATAATGGAGAAAGGCAGGGAGTTTCAGAAAAACATCTACTTCTGCTTCATTGACTATTCTAAAGCCTTTGACTGTGTGGATCATAATAAATTGTGGCAAGTTCTTAGTGGGATGGGCATCCCAAGCCACCTTCCCTCTCTCCTGAGGAATCTGTACAAGGACCAAGGAGCAACAGTCAGAACTGACCACGGAACAACAGACGGGTTCCAGATTGGGAAAGGCGTCCGGCAAGGCTGCATCCTCTCACCCAACCTTTTTAACTTGTATGCAGAACACATCATGCGAGGATGTGCGGGGCTTGATGAATGCAAAGCTGGGGTGAAAATTGCTGGAAGAAACATTAACAACTTCAGATATGCAGATGACACCACTCTGATGGCCGAAAGCGAGGAGGAGCTGAGGAGCCTTCTAATCAAGGTGAAAGAAGAAAGCGCAAAAGCCGGGTTGCAGCTAAACATCAAAAAAACCAAGATTATGGCAACAAGAATGAGTGACAACTGGAAAATAGAGGGAGAAAATGTGGAGGCCGTGACAGACTTTGTATTTCTAGGTGCAAAGATTACTGCAGATGCAGACTGTGGCCAGGAAATCAGAAGACGCTTACTTCTTGGGAGGAGAGCAATGTCCAGTCTCGATAAAATAGTAAAGAGTAGCGACATCAGACTGGCAACAAAGATCCGCCTAGTCAAAGCCATGGTATTCCCTGTAGTAACCTACGGATGTGAGAGCTGGACCTTAGGGAAGGCTGAGCGAAGGAAGATCGATGCTTTTGAGCTGTGGTGTTGGAGGAAAGTTGTGAGAGTGCCTTGGACTGCGAGAAGATCCAACCAGCCCATCCTCCAGGAAATAAAGCCCGACTGCTCACTGGAGGGAAGGAGACTAGAGACAAAGCTGAAGTCCTTTGGCCACATCATGAGGAGACAGCAAAGCCTAGAGAAGACAATGATGCTGGGGAAAGTGGAAGGCAAAAGGAAGAGGGGCCGACCAAGGGCAAGATGGATGGATGGCATCCTTGAAGTGACTGGACTGACCTTGAAGGAGCTGGGGGTGGTGACGGCCGACAGGGAGCTCTGGCGTGGGCTGGTCCATGAGGTCACGAAGAGTCGGAGACGACTGAACGACTGAACAACAACAACAAATATTTGATTTGACTTCCAGTTGTTTCTGTGTGTGGATTTATTTCCACTGCCCCAACACTAAATTTCACACTAAGTCCCTAATGTTGTTGGACTCCCATTAGCAAAGGCATGAGATTGGCGCAGAAAAAATATAATTCCCTGGACAACATCTTGAAAATTGTAAGATAGGGTTGGCAATGGCATAAATCAGGATTAGCTTGAAGACACTTAGGAACAATAATATAATAAATAATAATAAAATAATAAAAACGAAATGCAAAGATACAAAATGAGGGATGAGGCCTGGCTCGAGAGCAGTACGTGTGAAAAAGATCTTGGAGTCCTCGTGGACAACAAGTTAAACATGAGCCAACAATGTGATGTGGCGGCAAAAAAAGCCAATGGGATTTTGGCCTGCATCAATAGGAGCATAGTGTCTAGATCTAAGGAAGTCATGCTACCCTCTATTCTGCTTTGGTTAGACCACACCTGGAATATTGTGTCCAATTCTGGGCACCACAATTCAAGAGAGATATTGACAAGCTGGAATGTGTCCAGAGGAGGGAACTAAAATGCTCAAGGGTCTGGAGAACAAGCCCTATGCGGAACGGCTTAAGGAGCTGAGCATGTTTAGCCTGAAGAAGAGAAGGCTGAGAGGAGATATGATAGCCATGTATAAATATGTGAGAGGAAGCCACAGGGAGGAGGGAGCAAGCTTGTTTTCTGCTTCCTTGGAGACTAGGACGCGGAACAATGGCTTCAAACGACAAGAGAGGAGATTCCATCTGAACATGAGGAAGAACTTCCTGACTGTGAGAGCCGTTCAGCAGTGGAACTCTCTGCCCCGGAGTGTGGTGGAGGCTCCTTCTTTGGAAGCTTTTAAACAGAGGCTGGATGGCCATCTGTCAGGGGTGATTTGAATACAATATTCCTGCTTCTTGGCAGAATGGGGTTGGACTGGATGGCCCAGGAGGTCTCTTCCAACTCTTTGATTCTATGATTCTATATTGGAAAGATCATAAAGCTAGAGCTACCAAATCTTGCATTTCCCCTTCCCTTATTCTAGAAACCAGGTTGTTCTAGTTGGCTGGGGATTTTGGAGTTTGGAGTCCAATGCATTGGGAAGGTCCTAATGTGGGGAAAGCTACTCTTTAATTTGAACGGTTGTGGTTCCATTACTGCAAACTGCCAGAAGGTGGTGATATTTCCAAAATTATCAGCAGATGAATTGATTCTCTTCCAAATGCGTTGCTGTGGCCCAGTCTGTGTATATGTGTTTTGTGTGTTTATGTGTCTGTGTATATATATTTGTGTATATATGTGTGTTTGTGTAATTATATGATTGTATTTTAATGTATTTTATGTATTAGTGCATTATGTGATGTGATATTTTAAACTATTGTTTATGAATCTTTTGTTGTGAACCGGCCTGAGTCCCTCTGTGGAGGTTGAGAAGACCGGTATATAAAAGTTCTAAATAAATAAATACGTGGTTTTGTGCATGCCTTGTAATGTTTTTTTTTGTTTTTTTAAGTCTCTTCTGCTGTGTTTTTCAGTGTTTTATGAGTGATGGTCACTCATTGTTCTGAGAGGTGTATTGTGTCCAAATTTGGTGTCAAATTTGCCCTTGAAGACGGCCCGGAAGCTTCAGCTAGTCCAGCGCGCGGCAGCCATGTTACTAACAGGAGCAGGGCGCAGGGAGCATACAACGCCCTTGCTGTCCCAGCTCCACTGGCTGCCGATCTGCTACCGGGCCCAATTTAAGGTGCTGGTGCTATCCTACAAAACCCTAAACGGTTCCGGCCCAAAATACCTTTCGGACCGCATCTTGGCCTATGAGCCCACGAGGACCTTGAGATCGTCTGGGGAGGCCCTTCTCTCGATCCCGCCTGCCTCACAGGCACGTCTGGCGGGGACGAGGGATAGGGCCTTCTCAGTGGTGGCCCCCCGGCTGTGGAACACCCTCCCTGTTGACATCAGACAGGCGCCCTCCCTTATGTCCTTCCGGAAAAGCCTGAAGACATGGCTTTTCGAGAAGGCATTTAACTAAATGCTACAGTAACTGGAAATGACAACTGGAACGGAACATAGACTACGAGATTGGTTATGATTCTATGATAAGTCGAAGCGGATTTTTTAATGTAATTAGAGGATAGCGTATTAGTGATATGTTGTTTTTTGTCGTTGTAATTTACTGTAAGATATGTTTTTTACATGTTGTACACCGCCACGAGTCGCCCTAGGGCTGAGAGCGGCGGTTAACAAATGAAGCAAATAAATAAATAAATAAATAAATTTGCCCTGTGGTTTTTGAGTTATGTTAATCCCACAAATGAACATTACATTTTTATTTATATAGATTCTATTCTTATTCTATTATTTTATTATTGTATTATTTATATTATTATATATTTATTATTCTATTATTCTGTGTTGTTGTTGTTATTACTATTATTATATTTCTATGACCCTCTGCACACGCTCAGAAACAATACCCTAGCTTTGCAGTGCTAGATTTCTAATTATTACTGCTTTTGTTATATTAGTACAATTATTAATTTTAATGTATTTTTTGGCCTTTTACGTCCCTTCTGCTGTGTTTTCCAATATTTTTATGAGTGATGGTCACATTTGGTGTCAGGTCGCCCAGTGGTTTTTGAGTTATGTTAATCCCACAAACGAAGATTACATTTTTATTTATATAGATATTCAAAATTAGCAGAGAGATGCTTATTGACTCAGAATCATTTCAGGTCCTGAACCCATATAGCTGATTTAAAGGAAACTGTCTCTCTGTGTGTTGCTGGTGAACAGGCACCCCTTGTTACGTGGATTCAGAGGGCATTGTGCGCATGCTGAACAGAGGGCTTGGTAATACTTGGACTCCAGTCTGTAATACACGGGAACATTGTAAAGGAAAGTCAGACCACTACTGGGTTGTTGGCATTCATGAAAACCCTCAACAACTTAGGTAAGACCATCACTTTGTATTGGTTCTTCTCATCTTCTATATCATAGGTAGTATTGTTTCATACAGAGCTTTTCAAACAGATGAGAGCCTACACCACCTGCTCAGTAATCCTTTGTTGCTCTCTGTCTCAAGTCTTCATTGGTTCATTTCCAGCTGAGTAGCTACTTCCCTCGAACTTTATTTTTTTGCTAGAACGGTGGTTCTCAACCTTCCTAATGCTGGGACCCCTTAATACAGTTCCTCATGTTATGGTGACCCCCAACCATAATATTATTTTCGTTGCTACTTCACAACTTTAATTTTGCTACTGTTATGAAGCATAATGTAAATATCTCACATGCAGGATGTATTTTCATTCACTGGACCAATTTTGGCACAAATACCCGATATGCCCAAATTTGAATACTAGTGGGATTGGGGGGGGGGGGGGGGAATTGATTTTGTCATTTGGAAGTTGTAGTTTCTGGGATTTATAGTTCACCTACAATCAAAGAGCATTTTTAACTCTATTGACGATGGAATTGAACCAAACCTAGCACACAGAACTCCCATGACCAACAGAAAATACTGGAAGGATTTGGTGGGCATTGACCTTGAGTTTTGGAGTTGTAGTTCACCTACTTACAAAGAGCACTGTAGTCTCAAACAGTGACGGAGATGGACCATACTCAATATGCCCAAATTTGAACATGGGTGGAGTTTGGGGAAAATAGACCTTGACATTTGGGAGCTGTCGTTTCTGGGATTTATAGTTCACCTACAATCAAAGAGCATTTTTAACTCCACTGACGATGAAATTGAACCAAACCTAGCACACACAACTCCCATGATCAACAGAAAATACTGGAAGGGTTTGGTGGGCATTGACCTTGAGTTTTGGAGTTGTAGTTCACCTACTTACAAAGAGCACTGTAGACTCAAACAATGACGGAGATGGACCAAACTTGACATGAATACTCAATATGCCCAAATTTGAACATGGGTGGAGTTTGGGAAAAATAGACCGTGACATTTGGGAGCTGTTGTTTCTGGGATTTATAGTTTACCTACAATCAAAGAGCATTTTTAACTCCACTGACGATGGAATTGAACCAAACCTAGCACACAGAACTCCCATGACCAACAGAAAATACTGGAAGGGTTTGGTGGGCATTGACCTTGAGTTTTGGAGTTGTAGTTCACCTACTTTCAGAGAGCACTGTGGACTCAAACAATGACGGAGATGGACCAAACTTGGCATGAATACTCAATACGCCTAAATTTGAACACGGGTGGAGTTTGGGGAAAATAGACCTTGACATTTGGGAGCTGTAGTTTCCCTGTCGTAGTCAACTGTGAATCGCACATATGGTATTTCTGCGCCTGTGCAAGGCCATATGTGCGAATTCACAGGTGACTACTCAGGGAACTACAGTTACAGGTAAGCAACCTATAATTCCCTGTCGTAGTCAACTGTGAATCACATATATGGCCTCCACAGGTGCAGAAATACCATATGTACTTAAGCAATACTTAATTAACTACCACCATCATCATTCATAAGGGATAGTCGTATAACACCAACTAGTACATTCCTGGTAGCCATCTGTCAACATTGTCGCCATTGCAATAAGAACCAAGAGAGCACTTAGGCGCCTGCCATCTGCTGCTAGATTGCACCAGCACTTTCGCCCCTTCCCTGTCCCTCTGTGCCGCACTTTATTATCGCTAATTAGAGCACTTTAGACCTAGCACTTTATTAATGTGCCTTGAATGTGTGTTGCTGCTAACTAACTACGATCATTTACGATCACTTACGATCACTGACGGACTGCTCCTAAAATCTATGCGCTGTAAGAACGGTTCCAGTGAAACAGTCGGAACATCGATTACCATCTGTATAGCTGTTACCCATGTGGTCCCTTGCCCCCTTTTGTGTATTGTTTCTGTTGCTCGGGTGTAGCGGAGGAGGCAGAAGAGGAGGTGGACCGGAGCCTGTGACTGAAAGTGTGGTAGGGAGGGGGGAGGAGGGGGAGGGGAGATGCTGGCAAGAACCAATAAACCTAACAACAAGCGTAGGGGAAAATATTCTCATGGCTCGGGATTGCGGCATGGAGGGGGGGGAGGTGTTCCGCCAGCCGAGGGGCCCCCATAGAGGTCGTGGTGGGAAGGAGGAGATGCGGGAGAAGGAGACCTCGAATTCGGCCTAATTCGGACCGCTTATCTAAATTAACCACTCCCAATAGGTCTCCTAAGGTAAATTGGTGTAACCAGGTGAGCGGGCCCTCTGGCTTGAAGGTGGTGTTGTTGAACGCCAGATCTGTCAACGGAAAAACAACTTGGATTCAGGATTTAATCCTGGAGGAGCGGGCAGATCTGGCGTGCATTACGGAGACCTGGTTGGATGAAGCGGGGGGCGTAAACCTCTCCCAGCTTTGTCCTCCAGGTTTCTCCGTGCAACACCAGCCAAGAGCCGGAGGACGGGGAGGCGGTGTCGCAGTGGTCTATAGAGATTCCATCCATCTAACCAGGAGCCCCACCCCGCAGACCACAAATTTTGAATGCGTCCACCTGAGGGTGGGTGACCGGGACAGAATAGGGATTCTGTTAGTGTACCGTCCACCTCGCTGCACTACAGTCTCCCTACCTGAGCTAGCGGGGTGGTCTCGAGCCTGGCGGTGGAGTCCCAACGGCTTCTTGTGCTGGGGGACTTCAACATCCATGCCGAGGCAACCCTCACAGGTGCGGCTCAGGACTTCATGTCCGCCATGGCAACCATGGGGCTGTCCCAACGAATAACTGGCCCCACCCACTGCGCTGGACACACATTGGACTTGGTCTTCTGCCAGGGATGGGAGCAGGGTGGCGGTGTGGAGGAGTTGTCTATCTCTCCGATGCCATGGACCGACCACTTCCTGATTAGATTTAGGCTCACTGCGCCCCCTAACCTCCGCAAGGGTGGAGGACCCATTAAGATGGTCCGCCCCAGGAGGCTAATGGATCCGAATGGATTCCTGACGGCTCTTGGGGAGTTTCCCGCCACCTCGGTAGGTGACCATGTCGAGGCCTTGGTCACTCTCTGGAATGGGGAGATGACCAGGGCAATTGACAGGATCGCTCCGGAACGTCCCCTCTCAAGTAACCGAGCTAAACCAGCCCTTGGTTCACTGAGGAGCTGGCAGCGATGAAGCGAAGGAAGAGGGTTCTAGAGAGCGTGTGGCGCTCGGACCCAAGCGAGCCAAACCGAACACGGTTTGTGTCCTTTTTAAGGGCATATGCCGCGGCAATAAAAGCCGCAAAGAAAACTTTCTTTGCGGCCACTATTGCGTCTGCAAAAAACCGTCCGGCGGAGTTGTTTCGGATTGTCAGAGGTCTATTAACTCCCCCTATTTCAGGTGGGAGCCCTGACAATTCGGCAACACGCTGTGAAGCATTTGCTCGGTTCTTTGCAGACAAAGTCGCTTTGATCCGCTCTGGGCTGGACGCCACATTAAATGCAGTCTCTGTGGATGTGACTCAAGCACCTGCTTGTCCGATTTTGTTGGATTCTTTTCAGTTTGTGAAACCCGAGGATGTGGACAAGATACTTGGAGGAATGAGACCCACCACGTCCATCCTAGACCCCTGCCCATCCTGGCTTCTGAAGGAGGCCAGAGGGGGATTGGCTGAGTGGGTAACGGTGGTGGTTAATGCCTCCCTTCGGGAAGGCAAGATTCCAGCGAGCCTAAAACAGGCTATTATAAAGCCGCTGTTGAAGAAACCATCACTGGACCCCACTAAATTGGACAACTTTCGGCCTGTTTCCAATCTCCTTCTTGGGCAAAGTCATGGAAAGCGTGGTGGCCTCACAACTCCAGGTATTCTTGAGAGACACGGATATCTGGATCCGGCACAGTCTGGTTTCAGACCGGGACATGGTACCGAGACGGTCTTGGTCGCCTTAGTGGATGATCTGCGCCGGGAGCTAGACAGGGGGGAGTGTGTCCCTGTTGGTGCTCCTGGACCTCTCAGCGGCCTTCGATACCGTCGACCAGGGTATCCTTCTGGGGCGCCTTGCGGAAATGGGTCTTGGGGGCACTGCTCTGCAGTGGCTCCGGTCATTCCTCGAGGGTCGGTCTCAGAAGGTGTTACTGGGAGACTCCTGTTCAACCCCACCACCTTTGTCTTGTGGGGTTCCTCAGGGTTCAATACTGTCTCCCATGTTGTTTAACATCTACATGAAGCCGCTGGGAGAGATCATCCGGAGTTTCGGGGTGCGGTGTCACCTGTACGCGGATGATGTCCAACTCTGTCACTCCTTTCCACCTGCTACTAAGGAGGCTGTCGAAGTCCTGAACCGGTGCCTGGCCGCTGTAACGGTCTGGATGAGGGCGAACAAACTGAAATTAAATCCAGACAAGACAGAGGTACTCCTGGTCAGTCGCAAGGCCGAACGGGGTATAGGGTTACAGCCTGTGCTGGACGGGGTCGCACTCCCCTTGAAGGCGCAGGTTCGCAGCTTGGGTGTGACCCTGGACTCATCGCTGAGCCTGGAGCCCCAGGTTTCAGCGGTGACCAGGGGAGCATTTGCACAGCTTAGGCTCGTGCGCCAGCTGCGCCCGTATCTTGGGAGGTCTGACTTGGCCACGGTAGTACACGCTTTGGTCACATCCCGCCTTGACTACTGCAACGCTCTCTACGTGGGGCTGCCCTTGAAGACGGCCCGGAAGCTTCAGCTAGTCCAACGCGCGGCAGCCATGTTGTTAACAGGAGCAGGGCGCAGAGAGCATACAACGCCCCTGCTGTCCCAGCTCCACTGGCTGCCGATTTGCTACCGGGCCCAATTTAAGGTGCTGGTGTTATCCTACAAAGCCCTAAACGGTTCCGGCCCAAAATACCTTGCAGACCGCATCTCGGCCTACGAGCCCACGAGGACCTTGAGATCATCTGGGGAGGCCCTTCTCTCGGTCCCGCCTGCCTCACAGGCACGCCTGGCGGGGACGAGAGAGCGGGCCTTCTCGGTGGTGGCCCCCCGGCTGTGGAACACCCTCCCTGCTGAAGTGAGACAGGCGCCCTCTTTGATGGCCTTTCGTAGGAGCCTGAAGACATGGCTCTTCGAGCAGGCCTTCAACTGAGTGTATCATTGGAACGACATTGGAATGGACTATGACCTTGGAATTGGCTATGACCCTAGGACTTGACGAAGCGGATTTTTAGCATAAGTATATGTTATGTAGTAGTAGTTTGTTGTGTATTGTCGTGACTCACTGTACATTGTCTTTTCATGTTGCTGTTCACCGCCACGAGTCGCCCTGTAGGGCTGAGAGTGGCGGTCAATAAGTGCAAGAAATAAATAAATAATAATAATAAATATGTGCGAATTCACAGGTGACTACTCAGGGAACTACGGTTACAGGTAAGCAACCTATAATTCTGGGATTTATAGTTCACCTATAATCAAAGAGCCTGTTGAACCCCACCAACGATAGAATTGGGCCAAACTTCCCACACAGAACCCCATGAACAACAGAAAATGCTGTGTTTTCTGATGGTCTCTGGCGACCCCTCTGATACCCCCTCGCGACCCCCAGGTTGAAAACCGTGTACTAGAAAGTGGGCTATAGAGAACTGTCATGAGCTCATTCCTCTTTTAAAGCTGAGGCACAATGCTCTTGCCTCTGCTGATGTCCTGTCGCCATACACATTCACCATACATATTCACTTAAAGGATGTTGTGGGTCCCTTTCCTTGCCATTTAATGTGCCACACTATCTCTCCTAAACATTAAGGACAGCCTTAATATTTAAGAGTCAAGTATTCTTGCACTTCCATTGATAAAATTAAGCTGGAGCCCAGTGGCATTTGACAAGGAGCCATTTTGCTGTTATCTGTCCAATTTGCCAACTGTGTTCCTGTGCTTCCTCTTCCAAGTCACCCATTTCTAGGAAATTCATTACAAGCCCAAGGACATATCGGACTGAGAGGATGAATCTGAATGACAGTCATTGTGGTTTTCTCATCCCTTCCGAGATAACTTAAGAGAACGTTATTTAAATATAGCGAATTGTTCCTTTTTAGAATGAAACAATGCTCCTAGGGTAAAGCCTGATTATTAGACTGCATGCAGTCCCCGAAATGCAAACATCTGACTTGCAAGCAACTTCTAGTTAAGAACGGGGCTGAGACAACAAGAAGTGAGAGAAATCTACCCCTCGGAAGGGAAATTCAATCCTAAAAGAGTTATTATGAGGGGTAAGGTATATCCACTGAAGCTTTGTCACCAATCCTTGTTTCCACAACAAGCCAATATTTTCAAAATCCTATTATCACAAGGACCACAAGTGAGGTAAAATCTTCTGAAAAGGAGCACAGATAGCAAAACAAACACCACAGGGGTGTTAACTCTTTGCCGTGCTGTCCAAAGCGCATGCACACACACACACACACACACATACATATGGATTGAGTTAAAATGTACCTGTTCTGATTTACATACAAATTCAACTTATTACATTTATTATTTTCATCTATTTATTATTGTTATTACATTTATTATTTTACTCTATTATTATTACTACTACATTTATTATTTTACTCTCTTTATTCTTATTGGAAGGATACGTAAGCACATTTACATTGAAGTAGGTTAAAATAATGGTTTAATCCGAGTTGGAGAGTCTTATCTTAAATTACAGTGTTATGTAAATATTCAAAAACATTTAACCTACTGATGCCTCAATTAATGTAATTTTATTGGTATCTATTTTTACTTTGAAATTGACCAGTAGCTGCTGCGTTTCCCACCCTCGGCTTAGACTTGAGTCATAGAATCATAGAATCAAAGAATCAAAGAGTTGGAAGAGACCTCATGGGCCATCCAGTCCAACCCCATTATGCCAAGAAGCAGGAATATTGCATTCAAATCACCCCTGACAGATGGCCATCCAACCGCTGTTTAAAAGCTTCCAAAGAAGGAGCCTCCACCACACTCCGGGGCAGAGAGTTCCACTGCTGAACGGCTTTCACAGTCAGGAAGTTCTTCCTCATGTTCAGATGGAATCTCCTCTCTTGTAGTTTGAAGCCATTGTTTCGCGTCCTAGTCTGCAAGAAAGCAGAAAACAAGCTTGCTCCCTCTTCCCTGTGGCTTCCTCTCACATATTTATACATGGCTATCATATCTCCTCTCAGCCTTCTCTTCTTCAGGCTAAACATGCCCAGCTCCTTAAGCCACTCCTCATAGGGCTTGTTCTCCAGGCCCTTGATCATTTTAGTCACCCTCCTCTGGACACATGCCAGCTTGTCAATACCTCTCTTGAATTGTGGTGCCCAGATACGTTTTCCCAGTTTTTTTGTGGTAAAATTAGGTACCTTGGTTTATATTTGGGTTGACATACTTGAGTTTATACGGTATCCTGTTCGTAACTTGGGGCTGCCTGTAATTCATGGGGCCAACATTTGATAAGATCTTGCAAACTCTTTTCTGGCCCTATAGCAGTGGTTCTCAATCTTCCTAATACAGTTCCTCATGTTGTGGTGACCCCCAACCATAAAATTTTGTTGCTACTTCACAACTGTAACTTTGCTATTGTTATAAATCGTAATGTGAATATCTGATATGCAGGATTTATTTTCATTCACTGGACCAAATTTGGCACAAATATCTTATACATCCAAATTTGAATGCTGGTAGAGTTGGAGGGGATTTATTTTGTCATTTGGGAGTTGCAGTTGTTGGGATTTATAGTTCACCTACAATCAAAGAGCATTCTAAACTCCAGCAATGGTGGATTTGAACCAAACGTGGCACACAGAACTCCCATGACCAATAGAAATTACTGGAAGGGTTTGGTGGGCTTTGACCTTGAGTTTGGGAGTTGTAGTTCACCTACATCCAGAGAGTACTGTGGATTTAGACAATAACAGATCTGGACTAAACTTGGTATGAATGCTCAATATGCCCAAATGTGAACACTGGTGGAGTTTGGATAAAATAGACCTTGACATTTGGGAGTTGTCATTGCTGGGATTTATAGTTAACCTACAATCAAAGAGCATTCTGAAACCCACAAACTTGACACACAAGACCCCCATGACCAACATAAAACACTGTGTTTACTAATGGTCTTTGGTGACCCCTCTGACACCTCCTCGTGACCCCCCCCCCCCCGGGGTCCCGACCCCCAGGTTGAGAAACACTGCCCTATAGTATAATTTTAATTATATGACCAAATACTGATGGTTTGTATTTTCTGCATTTTTATTGTTCCTGGTAACGCTCCTATTAAAATCTTAATATATAGAAATCTGTGAGCTGTTGTACCATCTCAACATTTTTGTATGCTTTCCTGGTACTTTGTTGTTTTATAGGCTTACTAAAAGAGATGTTTTGTGGAAGAAATATGCCAACATCTACTTCTTGATCTGAAGTCTAAAAATTACGTAATAAAAAGCTGTACCTTGTATTGCTGCTAAATATGTAAATAGGTCCTTTCCATAAGGAAAGGACAGACACCAGTATGAGTTGTATGTGTCTTTCCCCCTTGTAGGTGCATTCCTTGTAAAGGAGCCCGTTTCCCCGCGACCCTTCCCCGTCCCGCGGTAGCCGTGCTGCCATTTAAACTTCCTTTTTGCCAGACTGCGACAGATAAGGGCCAAATGGAGGTAGGTAATAGTGGGAATCAGTCCTGTGTGTTGACTTTTAGAGGTGTGTGTGTGTGTGTGTTTGGAGAGGGGGTGGCGGGGGATGCGATAGGTATTTGGTTGCCATGTAAGACTATTCATGCAACATACCCCTAATCAGAACTTACCTTTTGGTCTCTAGGGATCTTTTGGGAAGGATATAAGTGCTGGCATTTCACTTTCATTGGCTTGCATTTACTTTGTATACCTTTCTTTTTGGTATTGTATGGAATTGGAGCTGAAGAAATTCCACTACTGGAAGAAGGGGCACATGTTCTGCATTGGAGGAAACAAATCTAGTTTCAGAACTTCCCAAGCTTTTGTTTGGTGCCAGCTGTGCCCGCACCTTGGGAAGTCTGATCTGGCCACGGTGGTCCACGCTCTGGTTACATCCCAAATAGATTACTGCAATGCACTCTACGTGGGGCTGCCTTTGAAGACGGTTCGGAAACTTCAACGGGCGGCAGCCAGATTACTAACTGGGGCAGCATCCAGGGAGCATACCACCCCCCTGCTATGCCAGCTCCACTGGCTGCCGGTCCATCTCCGAGCCCAATTCAAAGTGCTGGTTTTGACCTATAAAGCTCTATACGGTTACTTGTCCGAACGCATCCACCCCTACGTCCCACCTCGTAATCTAAGATCATCCGGGGAGGTCCTGCTCTCACTCCCGTCAACAGCACAGATGCACCTGGCGGGGACGAGAGACAGGGCCTTCTCGGCTGTGCCCCCCCCCCTCCCCCGCCTATGGAACACACTCCCAAATGAGGTAAGATCCGCTCCCTCCCTCCTGGCTTTTAGAAAAAAAATTAAAATCATGGTTTTGAGACCAGGCCTTTGGGCAGTAGAAGTAAATGTATGCAGCATTTCGGAAAGACAATGACTGGAATGGAGATTCGACGGACGAGACTGTTTTTTGTTTTAATTATTGTTTTATTGCTCATGGATGTATTTTTTTAATTTGATTTATGTCTAATTGTAGTGTATAATTGTAATTGTTTGTACTGGCATTGAATTTTTGCCATTACTTATGTGTAAACCGCTTTGGGTCCCCCTTGGGGTGAGAAAAGTGGGATACAAATATTGTAAATAAATAATAATAAATAAATCATAGAATCAAAGAGTTGGAGGAGACCTCATGGGCCATCCAGTCCAACCCCATTCTGCCCTGAAGCAGGAATATTGCATTCAAATCACCCCTGACAGATGGCCATCCAGCCTCTGTTTAAAAGCTTCCAAAGAAGGAGCCTCCACCACACTCCGGGGCAGAGATTTCCACTGCTGAATGGTTCTCACAGTCAGGAAGTTCTTCCTCATGTTCAGATGGAATCTCCGCTCTTGAAGTTTGAAGCCAATATATACTGTCACACGTTAGTGCTATATTGGCAGCAAAAGATGCAGCCGATATGCATTAAAGACGCATCCCAGCCTGTTTGCAGGGAAAGTCCACCATTCCCTCTCAGCCAGTGATCAAATTTGGCTCCTAAACAACTAGTTCTACCCAGTCTATCCTTGGTCAGCCATTCAATTCCACATGTCAAGGCCTATGGAAGGTGGAGACCCAAGGGTTATATAGTGCAGAGGCAAAAAAAGAATATCAAAGAGTGCATGTGTGGTCCATCTCCTCCCCTCTTGCCTCATTACCTTTGAGAACTGTGCAGGTCAATGAGTAACAGAGGAAAATTCACTTGCCCAGTCTATAGTCTATCGTCATTTAATTTCCCAATTTCAAGTTGCTAAGCTAATGGAAAAGCATTAGAGCAAAGTTGACATTTTTTTCTCTTTCTTTATCACTGGACAGCTGTTAACATTTGACCATATTGAGGGCAAGGATGCCCTGACCATCTGCCTAATGGTTGAGTTCAAGCTCAGGAAGCATGCACAACTACTTCACTTCCTCGGACCCCTCTCCTTTATTCCACCAAATTGCTTAGTCTTGTGACTATGGGCCCTCTGCTTTTTATACAACCAGTGAGCAGTTCTTCTGATTCTGCCAGAATTCTCAAAAGGTCCTCAGAACAAGGCTTTGCGAATAGCGTGGCCTTGTGATGCTGCAGCAGCAGCAGCAGAAGAGGTGGTGGTGTGACCTATCAGAGCCAATCACTGCCATGCTCTGGAGATCCAGGCAGGCTCTGTGGCATTTGCCATAGCTGAAGAATACAGTTCCTCATGTTGTGGTGACCTCCAACCATATTTTTGTTGCTACTTCATAACTGTCATTTTGCTCCTGTTATGAATCGTAATGTAAGTATCTGATGTGCAGGATGTATTTTCATTCACTGGACCAAATTTGGCACAAATCCCTGATATGCCAAATTTGGATACTGGTGGTGTTGAGGGGGATTGATTTTGTCATTTGGGAGTTGTAGTTGCTGGGATTTATAGTCCACCTACAATCAAAGAGAATTCAGAATTCCACCTACAATGGAATTGAACCAAACTTGGCACACAGAACTCCCATGACTAACAGAAAATACTGGAAGTATTTGGTGGGCATTGACCTTGAGTTTTGCAGTTGTAGTTCACACATACCCAGAGAGCACTGTGGACCCAAACTATTTATTTATTTATTTATTTACGGCATTTATATGCTGCCCTTCTCACCACGAAGGGGACTCAGAGCAGCTTACAAGTAATATGTAAATGCAATATATTATATTACCATAACACAATATTAGTATTATATATTGCTGTATTGTACTATACCATTATATTGCAATATTATTAGTAATATTACATATAATACAAAATATATAATTATAATATCATATTATTATTATTAGTAGTAGTAGTATATTGTATTATATTATTATATTATCAATATTATGTGTATATACAATATATTATAATATTAGCACAGTGCAGGAGACAAGGTGGAACTGTCTTCCTGGCCCCCTCTCTTCAGTCTGGTCCCAGAGCAGCAGTTGGTGCTGAGGGAGGGGCTGGACTAAACTTGGCACGAATACTCAATATGCCCAAACGTGAACACTGGTGGAGTTTGGAGAAAATAGATCTTGACATTTGGGAGTTGTAGTTGCTGGGATTTATAGTTCACCTACCATCAAAGAGCAGCCTCAATCCCACCAACGATAGAATTGGGCCAGACTTCCCACACAGAACCCCCTTGACCAACAGAAAATAGTGTGTTGTGTTTTGGAGTTGTAGTTCACCAACTTCCAGAGAGCACTGTGGACTCGAACAATGATGGATCTGGACCAAACTTGACACAAATACTCAATATGCCCAAATGTGAACACTGGTGAAGTTTGGCGAAAATTGACCTTGACATTTGGGAGTTGTAGTTGCTGGGATTTATAGTTCACCTACAATCAAAGAACATTCTCAACCCCACAAACAATAGAATTAGGCTAAACTTTCCTCGCTGGTGCAAGCCTCCCTCCAGCCTCGCATGCTCTCCCTTGCTTGCACATGCGTACCATGCTACCATACGCTGAACACGCCTGCTCTCCCCTCCCTGCTTGGAGTCTCAGAAACAGCCCTCCCCTTGGCTGAGAGGCTGGTCAATCACAGTAGAGGAGGGTGGATTCGCTGTCTGTTTCCAAGAAGGAAGAGAACAACAGGCGGAGAGATCTTCAGTCTTCCCTGCCGAAGGGGAGAGGTGGAGGCTCCTTTGGAAGCTTTTAAACAGAGGCTGGATGACCATCTGTCAGGGGTGCTTTGAATGCAATATTCCTGCTTCTTGGCAGAATGGGGTTGGACTGGATGGCCCATGAGGTCTCTTCCAGCTCTTTGATTCTATGACCATCAGAAATAGATGTTTTCTGATGGTCTTTGGCGACCCCTCTGAAACCCCCTGACGACCCCCCAGGGGTCTTGATCCCCATGTTGAGAAACACTGATGTTTGTGTCTTTCTTTATAGCATATCTTTTGGGGAGACTTTATGACTTGCTTCGGATCTAGCTTTCACTAGAAATTCCCTCCTTTTCAAAACCAGATTTTCCCAATGAACGTATGACTTATTAAAGCACATCAGGCAATAAAACAAATGTTTAGTCATCATGTCTGCAAATACATGCTTGAAATGTCGCCGGGAACCTGAGGTGAAATCTCAGAAACAAAAAGGGGGCGGAGAAGTTAATATTTCCATTAATTAAGGATAAAGGTTTAGCGTTGGATAACTAATAATAATTGCTGTGGGAAAGAGTCATTGTCCAGAATTATTCACATGAATTTCCACATGAACTCAGAATCTAACCAAGTTGGAAAATTCTGTTAAAATAGATGTGACTTTTTTTCCCTTACCTGCAATCCCTGGCTAAGATTTCACTCAATCTGTGTGCTCCTATGGAATTTATTTTTATTTATCGTGTCAGAGACAACCAGACCATTGTATTACATTTCTAACAGAACAAAACAAACAAACAGATTTAAAAAACCCACAAATTTTGCAAGCTTAGTAGTTGAATAAATGTCCTTTGACCAGTATCTGGCCCCTTGGAGTGTCTTTGGTGTTGCCGCAAGGAGGTCCTCCATTGTGCATGTGGCAGGGCTCAGGTTGCATTGCAGCAGGTGGTCAGTGGTTTCCTCTTCTCCACACTCGCATGTCGTGGACTCCACTTTGTGGCCCCATTTCTTAAGGTTGGCTCTGCATCTCGTGGTGCCAGAGCGCAGCCTGTTCAGCGCCTTCCAAGTCGCCCAGTCCTCTGTGTGCCCAGGGAGGAGTCTCTCATTTGGTATCAGCCATTGGTTGAGGTGCTGGGTTTGAGCCTGCCACTTTTGGACTCTCGCTTGCTGAGGTGTTCCAGCGAGTGTCTCTGTAGATCTTAGAAAACTATTTCTTGATTTAAGTCATTGATGTGCTGGCTGATACCCAAACAGGGGATGAGCTGGAGATGTCACTGCCTTGGTCCTTTCACTATTGGCTGCTACTTCCCGGCCGATGTCAGGTGGTGCAATACCGGCTAAGCAGTGTAATTTCTCCAATGGTATAGGGCGCAGACACCCCGTGATAATGCGGCATGTCTCATTAAGAGTCACATCCACTGTTTTAGTGTGGTGAGATGTGTTCCACACTGGGCATGCATACTCAGCAGCAGAGTAGCATAGCACAAGGACAAATGTCTTCACTGTGTCTGGTTGTGATCCCCAGGTTGTGCCAGTAAGCTTTCGTATGATATTGTTTCTAGCACCCACTTTTTGCTTTTGCTTGATATTCAGGCAGTCTCCTATGGAATGAGGACATATGATTGGCATCGATTAAAATGGCTACGTGTAAACTCTGAGTTGATTTCTTTCTTTCTTCTGCATGATTTAGGAGGAATTCTGGCGCTCTGTCTTGTTTCACAATTACCTGGATTACTTATCCCAAAATGGATATGAACACGATGAAAGTGTCAAAGGCCACGCAGTTCAAGAACAGCAGAATCTCTTGATGAAAATGTTTGCAGTAAGTAAGCCAAGCAGTGTATCAGTAGAAGGGCAGAGTATAAATCCAATTAAAAAACAGTAAAGAGAGACCTGTGGATATTTTTTTGTTAGTTACGTAAATTTTAACAAAAGAATGCCATTTATCCATGTGTTCTCCTTTGCAGGCTGGGAATTTAACTCTTCCGCATAGCTTTTAACTTCATATGATTTGTTTTCATCCTTTCTTAACCTCTAGGACAGTGTTTCTCAACCTTCCTAATGCCGCGGCTCCTTAATACAGTTCCTCATGTTGTGGTGACCATAAAATTATTTTTTGTTGCTACTTCATAATTGTAATGTTGCTCCTGTATGAATCGTAATGTAAATATCTGATATGCAGGATGTATTTTCATTCACTGGACAATTTGACACAAATACCCAATACACCCAAATTTGAATACTGGTGGGGTTGGGGGGATTGATTTTATGATTTGGGAGTTGTAGTTGCTGGGATTTATAGTTAACCTACAATCAAAGCGCATTCTGAACCCCACCAATGATGGAATTGAATCAAACTTGGCACGCAGAACTCCCATGACCAACAGAAAATACTGGAAGGGTTTGGTGACCTTGAGTGTTGGAGTTGTAGTTCACCTACATCCAGAGAGCACTGTGGACTCAAACAATGATGGATCTGGACCAAACTTGGCATGAATACTCAATATGCCCAAATGTGAACACTGGTGGAGTTTGGGGAAAATAGACCTTGACATTTGGGAGTTGTAGTTGCTGGGATTTATAGTTCACTTACAATCAAAAAGCATTCTGAACCCCACCAGTGATAGAATTGGGCCAAACTTCCCACACAGAACCCTCGTGACCATCAGAAAATATTTAGTTTCCTGGTGGTCTTTGGTGACCCCTCTGACATCCCCTTGCAACCGACCCCCAAGTTGTGAAACGCTGCTCTAGAACCAGACAAGAAATGTCTGGATTTATGCCTATACTGTAATCAGAGCTTGAAAAAGTCAGTTTTTAACTACAAATTCCAACATTTCCCATCCAGCACTATCAGTGGGAAACCCTATGGGTTGCAGTCCAACGCCTGCAAAAGTGGTGGGACCAAGAGCAGGGCCTCTCCAGAAGATCTTAAAGTCCATGATGGTTTATACAATGTGGATTCAAACTGCATCATTTGGCAGTGTCGCTCCAAGCTTTATCTTTTTCAAGATGAATTTCCCTCTTTCTTTTTAAAGCTTTCCTGCACACTGGAACGTGAGTTTCGCTGCATGGAGCTGGCGGAGCTCATGACGCACAATGCCACGAACCTAGCTATCAAGTACGCCTCTCGCTCTCGGAGGCTGGTTCTTGCCCAGCGGCTGAGTGAACTTGCTGCAGAGAGAGCAGCAGAGCAAGCAGCTGCTGAAGAGGAGGAGGAAAAGGAGCAGCAGGACTTCAGGAACCATCTAAATGCTGGGTAACAGTGAATTTTAAAGTTCTGTAATGGTTTGCCAGCATATGTAGAGAAAGGAACCATTTTGATTTCATAAAGTAATGGAGTCAGAGAACCGTACCATTGTAGAGGACTGCTGCCAGGGGCCATGCAATCCAACCCTTTGCCAGTGTGGAAATACACAGCTAAAACACCCAAGGTATGGCCAGCCAACCTCTCTTTCAAGGCCTCTGAAGGAGATCCACCACTTTGCAAAGCCGTCTATTCCACTGTTAAACCTGTTTTTAAAGCTTTTGTGGGAACTCTTTTCTTATATATAGAACACAGATATCTATTACTAAGACACACAAAGTATTTATTTATTTATTTATTTACTCCATTTGTATACCGCATATATCAGCCTGCGACGGCGACTCAATGCGGTTTACAGTAAAAATGGCAACACTGACAATATATAAGACGTACATACACAAACAACACACACAGTCATCAACGCCTCAATTAGAATCAGATCCCGTTCTCATAGTCCTTTTTCGTTCCTTGTTCGATGCCGTCTTACTGAGTTAGTTGTCATTGCATAGTTGTCCAAACGCCTGCTCATAGAGCCACGTCTTAACTCTCCTCCGAAACACCAGCAACGAAGGGGCCTGCCTGATGTCCACTGGTAGGGCATTCCATAGCCGAGGGGCCACCACTGAGAAGGCCCTGTCTCTCGTCCCCGCCAACCGTGCCTGCGACGCCGGCGGGACCGAGAGTAGGGCCTCCCCGGACAATCTTAAAGTCCTCGCCGGTTCATAGGTGGAGATGCGTTCGGAGAGGTATTATAAAGTATTATGTTATTTATTTATTTATTTATTTATTTATTTATTAATGCGCTTGTATACCGCTAATATCTCAGCCTAAATTGGCGACTCATTGCGGTTTACAACACTTAAAAAACAACAATATTCAATTTAAAAGCATAAAAACACATAAACCATACAAAATTATTGGGCCACCAATAACAATCCAAATGCATCTCGTAACTGGAATCGCAATCCAAATTCATCGTCTATGGTTACCATTCCTTAATCATCAAGATTCGTTTCGTCGGGTTATCCGAATGCTTGTTCAAACATCCATGTCTTCAGTCTTTTCCGAAATACCATCAGCGAGGGGGCTGATCTTACCTCTGTAGGGAGGGTGTTCCAAAGCCTTTTATTGTTGTTGAAACTTCAAATATGATGTCATATGACAGGTTTATTACTTATAAATAATAATAATAATAATACTATATATATATATATATATATATATATATATATATATATATACACACATACATACATACACAAATACACTCATATACATATACACATGCACACATTCATACACACACACGTATATATATGCACAAATACACACAAATATACACATGCACACATAATATAATAATAATCATCATCATCTTTATTTTTACCCATATCCTCAAGGGACTCGGTGCGGCTTACATGAGGCCGAACCCAAATACAACAATACAAGCAATAATAACAACAATACAAGCCATTAAAATAAAAACATGGAACAATAAAATAATGCAATATTAGCAATAAGACAACACATAATTAAAACTGTGGGAAGGCCAAATGTAAAATTAAAATTGAAAGTAATGCTGGAACATGGGCGAAAAAAGTGATGGGGCGTTTGTGGAAAATATACAAGCAGACCTAAAAAATGTAAAGTGCTTGGACAGGGGTCCACAAACTTTTTAAACAGAGGGCCAGGTCGCAGTCCCTCAAACTGTTGGCGGGCCAGATTATAATTTAAAAAAATACGAATGAATCCCTATGAACACTGCACATATCTTATTTATAGTGCAAAAAACATTTTAAAACAATACAATAATTAAAATTAAGAACAATTTTAACAAATATAAACTTATTAGTATTTCAATGGAAACTGTGGGCTTGATTTTGGCTGATGAGATAGGATTGTTGTTATTGTGTGCTTTTAAGTAGTTTCATACTTAGGTTGACCCTGAGCGAGGGCCGGGTAAATGACCTTGGAGGGCTGCATCCGGCACCCGGGCCATAGTTTGAGGACCCCTGTGCTTGGAGGACAAAGTGCTATGGAATCAATTTTCTGGGAAGGGTCACTGGAACAACCACGTCTTCAAGATCCTCCTAAAGACTGCCAGAGTTGGGGCCTGCCTGATGTCCTTAGGAAGTGAGTTCCAGAGTCAAGGGGCCACCACTGCAAAGGCCCTCTCTCTTGTCCACACCAATCGCGCCTGTGATGCAGGTGGGATCGCGAGCAGGGCCTCTCCCGATGATCGAAGAGATCGTGTGGGTTCGTATACAGAGATGTGGTCACGCAGGTAGGCAGGTCCCAAACGGTTCAGGGCTTTGTAGGTAAAAACCTGCACCTTTAATTGAGTCCGGAAAATGAATGGCAACCAGTGGAGCTCCTTAAACAGGAGGGTTGATCGATCCCTGTAAGTAGCCCCAGTTAACAACCTGGCTGCCGCCCATTGAACCATCTGGAATTTCCGAGCCATTTTCAAGGGCAGCCCCACGTAGAGCCCCTCTATAAGCACAATATAGAGGAACAACTTCTCTTAGTCATGGATAAATGTCCATATTCATTTAGATCAGGGGTCCTCAAACTAAGGCTCGGGGGCCGAATGCGGCCCTCCAAGGTCATTTACTCAGCCCTCGCTTAGGGTCAACCTATGTCTGTAAAGACTTGAAAGCACACAACAACAATCCTATCTCATCAGTCAAAAGCAGGCCCACACTTTCCACTGAAATACTAATAAATTTATATATTAAAAATTGTTCTCCATTTTAATTATTGTAGTGTTTTTAAGTGTTTTTGCACTACAATATATTTTTTTTTGTCGTGTTAGGAGCGACTTGAGAAACTGCAAGTTGCTTCTGGTGTGAGAATTAGCCATCTGCAAGGATGTTGCCCAGGGGACGCCCGGATGATTTGATGTTTTTATCATCCTTGGGAGGCTTCTCTCATGTCCCCGCATGAGGAGCTGTAGCTGATAGAGGGAGCTCATCCACCTCTCCCCAGATTCAAACCTGCGACCTGTCGGTCTTCAGTCCTGCCCGCACAGGGGTTTAACCCACTGCGCCACTGGGGGCTCCTGCACTACAAATAAGATATGTGCAGTGTGCATAGGAATTCATTCATGGTTTTTTTTTTTCAAATTATAATCCGGCCCTCCAGAATAGTATTTTATGAAGCAACAACCAATTTCAAAATAGCCTACACACAGGTTCTGCAGCAGCTCTAACATTCCTGATCTTTTGGTTAAGAAATTAAGTTGCTCCCATGCCTGAATTTCATCCACTTCTCCCGGTTAGTTTTAAGGTCATGCTCTCATTGACTTTCACCTGGGTTTACTCTCAACCAGGAGCTTGGAGCTTGCTTTAAGGCAGATCTTGGGAGGTAATGTGCAGAATGTCAGATCCTTTTATTTTCAGTGTATATCCCCCACTTCCTTTTTTAGACCACTCAGAGCAAAGTGCATTGAGGGAGCCCTTCAAGAAACCGATCAAGTTTATGCTCATTGAGTTTCAGGAATGGTACACTGGGTTTCAATTTGGTCATTTTCATACTGGCTTGTAAGACATGAAGCCAAAGGTTCTCATGTCTGATGGATTTTGGAGTTACTGATTAATTTCATGATAGCAGTATATTTCTGCTGCTGTAACCAACATTGGTCGTCATTATTAATAGAATGCCTTTGTAACAATTTTTTGATATTTTGCATGACAATACTGTCAGAAATATTAAAAATTAGCTAGGTATTTTTAATTACAAAAACGTGGGTCAAGTACTGTAAGGGTTAGATGGATTCAATGACTCAGCAAAAGCTGCAGTTCTGTTGGAACCCAGAAGCCTTTAAAGAACCAGACTTGTTAATATATCCAAAAGTAACAGTTTATTAAATCAAACAAAAGACTCAGACACTTACTTCAGTGCCTTTGGTCAAAACTGAAAAGAAGCAGCAAGATTTAGCTCAAAAAAACTTAGAAAATAATCCGGATTAAACAGAGATATAATCCAGATTACAGATATAATCCAGATTAAACTGAGTAGTGTCCAAAGTTACCCAAAATAGCACAGCAGACAAAGGGTAAGCAAACAAATGTCCGTGAAGCAAAAGCCGAAGTTAAAAACAGTCCAAAGTCGAAGAAAGCCAAGGTCAAAGTTGCGAGGTTCCAAAGTCCACGTAGTCAGTGTTGTCGTCGTCAAAAGCAGTCCGGAGTCAAGGAAGGGAGAAAACCACACTCACAGGAATCCAAGCCGAGTTCAAACACAGAGGATACAGCAACCTGCAGATCCAGGACCCAAGCCCAACACGAAAGTGGCAGCGACAAACCCCAAGGCACGAAACCAACACTTTGCCTTCTGCAAAGTTATAACATTTTGATGCTTACTTTTATCTACAATTCCTCACTCAATAATGAGCTGCCCTCCATCTCGTCATCATCACTTTCAGCTGGTTTAGCTTCTATAGCTGAACGCCAACGCCCATCCCTCCAACTCTTCCATCTTAGGTTTCCCCATGAGTCCACAGTATCCCCAGATTGCCAGTCCTTACCACCAGAAAATCCTGCAAACGTGTCACTAAATGTTGGTTGAATACAGATATCTCGAACCTCTTGAACCTTGGTCCAGTCCAATGACCAATCCTCCTCCTCGTCACTCCCAGACCCATTACTCCCAGTGAAACCCATGAAATCCTCCTCCTCTGTGGGAGCATTAAGTATATCCCGGATCTTTTTCCTTTGACACTCCTCATCGGATCCCGACTCTCGAGTAGACCTCTTAACTCCCCTGCTTACATCCGCTGAAACTCCCTCCTCCTCATTCATTTCACTTTCAGAAAACCCTTCGAAGGAATCTTCGTCAGTGGGTGACATAAGTATTTCCCAAATCCTCTTCCTTTGCTGTTCCTCACTTAACTCCTGAGCACACCTTTTCCCTCCTCTACCACTCAATCAGTAGTAACGGTACCAGGAGACTCTACTACAACAATACAATACAAGCAAGTATTCTTGTAGCTCAGTAGCCCTCAGTCTGTGAAAGGTCTCTGTGGGAGAAGGGCCTCAGTGTTTTAGTAGGGCTCGGTATAAGCAGGCCTCAGTATTAGTTCGCCCTAGTGTGAGAGAGGTGTCAGTCTGAGACAACCCTCAGTATGAGAAGGCCTCGGTGTTAGTTCGTCTCAGTGGGAGAAAGGCCTCAGTATGAGAAGGCCTGGTGTGAGAAGCTTCAGTGAGATGAAGCCCCAGGTTGAAGGCCATTATATGTGAAGGCTGCTGTGTGTAAAAAGCTACTGTGTAACTTTGGTGTTAGAAGAAGCTCTTGAGAGCGAAGCTGTTTATCTGTATGAGAAGCCCAGCGTGGGAGCAAAGAAGGAAGTATAAAGAACTTTGTATTGTCGAAGGCTTTCATGGCCGGAATCTAAAATTACAAATCTAAAATTACAACAGCAAAACAACAGAGAGGAAACAATCAAGGACATCTAATCACCTCTCAACAAAAGATTGCCCCAGGCACTGCCAGGCCATCAAATGCTAATCAAGGTGGTCAGTGGAACCATTCACACCTAGCTCCAACAGACAAGAGTTCTTTGTCCCACCCTGGGACAAAGATATATAAACCACAGATATATAAACCCATTTTCCTAGTTCCAACAGACCTCACTACCTCTGAGGATCCTAGCTATAGATGCAGGTGACACTTCAGGAGAGAATGCCTCGGGAACATGGCCATATAGCCTGAAAAAACCTACAACAACCCATAAAGAACTTTATTTTTGTTATGGAAACCTAGTTCTTGTAAACAGTGCAACCATATTATTTATTTATTTTATTTATTTATTTGCTTTATTTCTATACTGCATATTTCAGCCCAGACAGGCGACTCTATGCGGTTTACATGATACAAATTATTAACAGTGTCAGTGCAATTAAAACGCAACACGTGCGACAAACAGGATCAACAACATCAATCCACAACAGTTAACAAAACAGAACAGGACAGTCAACACATACAACATAACGCCTCAGTGAAATCAGATCCGTTCTCATAATCCTTGTGCCATTCCTATGTTCCATTTATCGTCTTCCTTGATTGATTGCACTGTTCAACCAAACGCCTGTTCATAAAGCCAGGTCTTAACCTTTTTCCGAAACGCCAGCAACGAAGGTGCCTGTCTGATGTCTGCCGGCAAGGCATTCCATAGCCGAGGGGCCACCACTGAGAAGGCCCTGTCTCTCGTCCCCGCCAAGCGCGCCTGTGACGCAGGCGGGACCGAGAGCAGGGCCTCCCCAGACGATCTTAATGTCCTAGTCAGTTCATATTATTTTACTACAAAGAAAAGCCCCCTATGGAAGAGATAAACATTGGTCTGTGTTTTTTGTTCTTTTTATCACTTTGGGCTACTGGTGTTGGGTCACGTTGCTAACAAGTTAATCTGCTGTACATTTATGCGGAGGGTCTTTTGTTAATAAGCCTACTCGCCCACCCAATACCAAATTCTTTTGTTTTTCTACAAGACTTTGATTTTTGTCCTCAAAATATTTGCGCAACAGAAATTGTGAAATTCCTTTGTCATAATAATCAGGTTCAGGGTTGTAACCATAATCTGTTATTTTATCCATGACCCAGCCTCTGTTCTGTTGGGTCTGTGAAAGCTTCCTTTCTCTCTATTCTCTCTTATCTTTTGGTAAAGGATTGATAACCGCATCTTGATTGCATTTCTCTGCTTAAGTTACAGTAATACTCCCACAGAATGGAGTCAGGCTCGTGTGAGAAAACTTCAGCGCCAGCAGAGCACAGAAAAAGATGAAGAAATGACAGAACAGGCCAATGAAGACGTGCCTGTCGAGACAAAACCTAGTAAGGCAGGCAGCAATATTCAGGGTGGATTCACTTTAAATAGTTTTTATTAGTATATCAATAGAAAATAGGGAAAAATTTAAAAAATTAAAAAGGGAGAAAAGGGGGGGTGGTTACATGGAAAGTGGGAGAACATTTGTTTTATAGGAAAGTCGGAAAATAGTAAGAGAATATAAAGTAATGGTAAAAAAGGAAAAAGAAAGGAAAAAAGAGAATAAGAAATAAGATAAAATAAAAATAAATCCATTGGCTTCCATTCTGTGCTTTAGCTAATCCAATTTTCTTTGTATCTTCTTAATTTTATTTTAAAAAAATTAAACAATGAGGGATATGACTATAAGAAATATAATTATATTATACAATCAGACAACTCTGATGAGCTACTTTTCTCCTTCTTTTTCTGCTTCGTACTTATCAAAAAGTGTCCAGTCCGTCTTCCTTATTGGGCTTCCCGAGTTTGATTATGTGCAAGGATTTTGGATGAATGGAGCTATGTACTTTATATGTTAATTTGTATACTATATTGTCAAAGGCTTTCATGGCTGGAATCACTGGGTTGTTGTAGGTTTTTCAGGCTGTATGGCCATGGTCTAGAGGCATTCTCTCCTGACGTTTCGCCTGCATCTGTAGCAGGCATCCTCAGAGGTTGTGAGGACCTCACAACCACTGAGGATGCCTGCCACAAATGCAGGCAAAACGTCAGGAAAGAATGCTTTTGGAACATGACCATACAGCCCGAAAAACCTACAAGAACCCAATTTATATACTGTTTTTATGTGTTTTATTGACCAACTGTTAATTGGTTTTAACTGAGTGGGTATGATGTGATTGTTTTACTGTTTTATTGTTTTGCTTGATGTTTTTATTTGCTTATGTGTTTATTGTGTATTGTATGTTGTTGTTTGTCGGTGGCCTTGGCCTTTGTAAGCCGCATCGAATCCTGCGGAAGATTTTGCGGGGTATAAATAAAGTTAATAATAAATAATATTTTTATAGTCTATTGTTGATTTTACCAGCATTGGATTCTTGCTGGAGGTGTATGCAATCTTGAGTCCCCTGAGGGGTGAGAAAGACAGGGTAAAAATGAAGTAAATAAATAAGTAACATAATAACTGAGAAGATGCTTAAAATGTTGCTGTCTTTTTATATTGGCATTCAAATGCACATTATTTTTGTGTCCTTCTAAAGGATCTCCCCTGCCATGTGAAAGTGCATCTACTCCCAAATCTGGTGAGTCAGACTGAATTTATTTTGAGAAAGGAAGACTTCTCTGAATGTTGGACAAACTTGTCTAAGTCTTTGATACCTGCTCTCCAAATCTGTTTCCTACTATTTAGTTAGTTAAACAACTTGCTTGTGTCTGTAGGGAACCTGTAGGGTGATTAAATAAATAGGAACCTGTGAAATGATGTGATCTGTGTCATATCCCTTATATACTCTAAGTCGAGTTTTCCAGTCCTTTTTAAGGCTGAAAAAGCACCACTCGGCTTATACTCAAGTCAAGCTTATTTATTATTTTCCTCTGTTGTTGTTGTTGTTGTTATTATTATTATTAATAATAATAATAATAATAATAACAATACATTTATTATTTTGTTCTATTATTAATACATTTATTATTTTACTCTGTTATTACTATTATTACATTTATTATTTTACTCTATTATTACTGTTATTACATTTCCGTTATTTTACTTTATTATTATTTTTATTAAATTTATTATTTTACTTTCTTTCTTATTATTGGAAGGATACGTAAGCACATTTACATAGAAGAAGGTTAGAATAATGATTTATTCAGAGTTGGGGAGTCTTATCTTAAATTATAGTTTTATGAAAATAATCAAAAACATTTAACCTAATGAAGCCTCAATTAATGTAAAAGGTGACGGAGGCATGTTTGTGTTCCTCTCTAAGGGACCAAGGGGGATGTTGGCTATAGAGCTAGCTTATACATTTCTGCTGTGAATCAACATTATGGAGTTCCTTTTTGAAAAGCTTGGGAGTGATCCTGGACTCATCGCTAAGCCTGGAACCCCAGGTCTCAGCGGTGGCCAGGAGAGCTTTTGCGCAACTAAAACTTGTGCACCAGTTGTGCCCGTACCTCGGAAGTCTGATCTGGCCACAGTGGTCCACGCTCTTGTCACATCCCGTATAGACTACTGCAACGCACTCTACGTGGGGTTGCCCTTGAAGACTGTTCGGAAACTCCAACTGGTCCAACGAGCGGCAGCTAGACTGCTTACTGGAGCGACATACAGGGAACACACCACCCCCCTGTTATGTCAGCTCCACTGGCTGCCGATTCAGTTCCGAGCACAATTCAAGGTGCTGGTTTTGACCTACAAAACCCTTTACGGTTCCGGTCCAGCGTATCTGTCCGAACGTATCTCCCTCTACGTCCCATCTCGGAATCTGAGATCATCTGGGGAGGCCCTGCTCACGACCCCACCGCTATCACAAGTGAGGCTGGTGGGGACGAGGAGCAGGGCCTTCTCAGTGGTGGCCCCCCATCTGTGGAACTCACTCCCGGGGGAAATCAGGGCTTCAACTTCCCTCCTTGCCTTGAGGAGGAAGGTAAAGACGTGGCTCTGGGACCAGGCCTTTGGGCACCCTGACAATTAGACATGGAACCAGAATGATAGGACCAACAATGTGTGGAAAGTAGAACCTAACTATGAGTCGGTTAAACGCTGACCAGCAATGAGGTTTGTATTGCTTTTATTGTTTTAATTGTTTTTACGGGTTTATGGCTATTCCTGCCGATAATATTGATTGTTTACGTTAATTGTTATCAGTGTTATAATTATTGTTGTTATTGATGTTATGTTTTTGATGTTATGTTTTTGTAATACAGGCATCGAATTGTGCCTTGTTTGTGTAAGCCGCCCTGAGTCCCCCCGGGTGAGAAGAGCGGGGTATAAGCAACCGTAATAAAATAAATAAATAAATAAGACTGTTTCAGAATGTTTAACTTGATGCTCTCCTTCTCTTCTTCTCTATTCCTCCCCCTTTTCAAAACAAAAGCTGCGCCTGTGGCTGCCAACCAAGGGAGAATCAATCCTTTCAAAGTAAGAATTTTTATGATTTCCCATGACCTTGAATGAAATTAGAAGTCCTGATGGGGAAATGTTGAGGACCAGATGTTTTCACAAATATTTTGCCTCCCTAGGTTTCCAGTAGCCAAAAGGATTCACTCGGCCACTCAGCTAACATTCTGGACAGCATGACCAAAATGTCTAAGAAAAATGCCACACCGACTGGCCGAGGCGCTGCAAGCAAAGAGAAGGCTCCAGTTATAAAGCCCTTGATGCCTAAACCCAAATTAAAGCAGGTGAAGATCTTAAATGTTTGTGCTGGTTGAATGTAGCATTGCTTGGTTTCAATGCTTTCACTCCATTATCAGGCATAAGCTAACTAAAAGTTGGGCCAAGCATGGAAAATGATGTCTGGGTAGGAAAAAGAGCAAAGTAAGCTTGTTCGTATATTGTTCTTTTATTTTCTTCAGGTGCTCTGCCAGAGCATTCTTTGGAAAATAGAAACATTGATTGGGTTGCTGTGAGTTTTCAGGGCTGTATAGCCATGTTTGTTTGTTTATTTATAATAATAATAATAATAAGAAGAAGAAGAAGAAGAAGAAGAATTTATTTATTTTATTTATTTCCCAGTTTTCTATACCAAGCTTCTCAACCTCATTGAGGGACTCAGCCCGGTTTCCAGCCACAAAAACATATACACTCATTAAAATATCATATATCACAATTACAAAAACAACTTTAAAAACACTATATATAAAACTACAGTGGTCAGTCGTCCTATTAAGATGGATCTACCTCAACTTCCATCCAGGGTCCTATGGTGTTGTCTCATTCATCGAAGGCCTGACTCCACAGCCACGTCTTCACCCGTTTCCTAAATGTTAGGATGGATGGGGCGGTTCTGGCCTCCAGAGGGAGAGAGTTCCAGAGTCGCGGGGCCACCACCGAGAAGGCCCTGTCCCTCGTCCCCACCAGGCACGCTTGCGAGGCCAGTGGGACCGAGAGCAGGGCCTCTCCAGATGATCTTAATAATCTTGATGGTTTGTAGGGGAGAATACGTTCGCAGAGGTAAACAGGGCCGGAGTAGTTTAGGGCTTTATAGGTCAACACCAGCACTTTGAATTGTGCTCGGAAGTTAATTGGCAGCCAGTGGAGCTGGCGTAACAGCGGAGTGATGTGCTCCCTGTACCCAGCCCCCGTTAGTAATCTGGCTGCCGCACGTTGGACTTGCGGCAGCTTGCAGAAGAAGAAGAAGAAGAAGAAGAAGCATGTCTGTGGCTCACAAATGGAATTTTGAAAAAGGAGACAAAGGAGGGCCTGATTCTGGCAGCCCAAGAACAAGCCAATTGAACCAATGCCATCAAAGCCAGAATTGAAAAGTTGCCAACAGATCCCAAATGTAGACTCTGCATGTGGGGACATGAGAGAAGCCTCCCACAAGGATGATAAAACATCAAATCATTCTGGCGCCCTCTGGGCAACGTCCTTGCAGACAGCCAATTCTCTCACACCAGAAACGACTTGCAGTTTCTCAGGTTGCTCCTGACACGACAAAAAAAAAAAGACTCTGCAAGGAAGCAGATGAAACAATAGATCCCATTCTCCGCTGCTGCAAGAAGGTCGTGTAGACAGACTACAAGCAGAGGCACAACACCCTTGCTCAGATGGTTCATTGGAACTTGTACCACAAATACCATCTGCCTGTGACAAAGAACTGGTGGGGTCACAAGCCAGAAAAAGTTACAGAGAATGAACCCATCAAGCTACTCTGGGACTTCCGAATTCAGACAGAGTTTTGTAGCATAATACTCCTGACCTCACAATCGTGTTAAAAAACAAAGTATGGATTGTCGATGTTGCAATCCCAGGTGATAGCAGGATTGAAGAGAAACAACTGGAAAAGCTGACATGATATGAGGATTTAAAGATCGAACTGCAAAGACTCTGGCACAAGCCAGTCAAGGGGGTCCCAATGGTGCCCGGCACACTGGGTGCAGTGCCTAAAGAACTTGGCCTGCACTTAAACACAATCGGTGCTGACAAAATTACCATCTGTCAGCTGCAAAAGGCCACCTTACTGGGATCTGCACCCATTATTCACCAATACATCACACAGTCCTAGACACTTGGGAAGTGTCCAGCGTGTGATCCAATACAACAGCCAGCAGGGTGTCTGCTTGGAGTCATCTTGTTGTGTTTCAAATAATAACAACAACAATAACAACTTTATTTTTGTACCCTTCCTCCATCTCCCCAAGGGGACTCAGGGTGGCTTACAAAGGGACAAGCCCAAAGAACACAGAGTTAAAACCATCAATCAAAACAAAACAAAATAAGAACATATCACAATAAAACATAACATCATAAAAACAGGACCATGCTGACCAATAAATGCAGAGTTCAGAGGGTTCTGAGTTTGTGCAAAATTCCTAGATAGAGCTATGGGAAAGTGCAAAATTCAGTAAGGCAGGGCTGGGAGAATAATGTTCTTGGGCGTTAAAATGTCAGACTTCTAGAGTGGAGGGCCATATTAAAGTGCTGGAAAATCAGGTAACATTGGCCAGTTCTTTGGAACTGCCTAGTCAGATTATTTATTTATTTACTCAATTTATACTCCACCTTTCTCTACCTGAGGGGACTCAAGGCGGCTTACATAGAGGCAGTTACTCAATGCCGTAAAACACATACAATTCCAAAATAATTAAAAATTATATTAAAATTAAAACATATTAAATATTTAAAAACATTCCATTCCATATTAAAACCTCGCCATCCATATAGTGCAAGCTGTTCCATAGTCATTCCATATATTCCAAACCTGTTAATTACACTGCATAATTCTCTGAAGAGCTGATGTTCCAGAAGCATTCTCTCCTGACATTTCACCCACATCTATGGCAGGCATCCTCAGAGGTTGTGAGGTCTGTTGGAAACTAGGCAAGTGAGGTTTATATATCTGTGGAATAATGTCCAGAGTGGAGGAAAGAACTCTTGCCTGCTTGAGGCAAGTGTGAATGTTGCAACTGATTAGCACTGAATAGCCTTTCAGCTTCAAAACCTGGCTGATTGCTGCCTGGGGGAATCCTTTGTTGGGAAGTGTTAGGTGGCCCTGTTTGTTTCATGTCAGGAATTCCCCTGTTTTTTTAGTGTTGTCCTTTATTTACTGTCCTGATTTTAGATATCTTTTTTAATACTGGTAGCCAAATTATGTTCCTTTTGATGGTTTCTTCCTTTCTCTTGAAATTGTCCACATACTTGTGGATTTCAATGACTTCTCTGTGTAGCCTGACATGGTGGTTGTAAGAGTGGTCCAGCATTTCTGTGTTCTCAAATAATATTTTGTGTCCAGGTTGATTGATCAGGTGCTCTGCTATGGCTGACTTCTCTGGTTGAAGTAGTCTGCAGTGCCTTTCATATTCCTTGATTCGTGTTTGGGCAATGCTGTGTTTGGTGGTCCCTATGTAGACTTGACCACAGCTAACACCTCCCAACAACAGATCCCCCAGGCAGCAATCAGCCAGGCTTTGAAGCTGCAAGGCCATTAAATAGTAATCAAGCTGGCCAATTGCAACATTCACACTTGCCTCAAGCAGACAAGAGTTCTTTCTCCCACCCTGGACATAATTCCACAGGTATATAAACCTCACTTGCCTAGTTTCCAATAGACCTCACAACCTCTGAGGATGAATGCCATAGATGTGGGTGAAATGGCCAGACAGCCTGAAAATCTCACAGCAACCCAGTGATTCCGGCCATGAAACACATAGAAACATTATTTTCTCCTCCCCAAATATTTTCTTTCATGATATTTGTGATACCGCAGCAAAATAGTTACTCTTTTGATTACAAAGGCAGATTTTGTAGCATTCTTGGTGTATTAAATGCTAGAAGGAAATAAAAGTGCACTTATGAATTTTAGAATTGTGTATCTCATTGTAGGCTGCAGCTGCGGCATTTTTCCAACCTCGAACACCTAGAAATGAGAAAAAACCTGTGGAAGAGAAAGGAGAGAAAAATGGAACTGCAGAGCCTGAATCCAAAACTATAACTGAAGATAATGACAGCAAAAGGTCAGCGTGCCACGGACTCTTTCTTCATTGTTGTTGTCTCTGTTTCCCCAATACCTCTTCTCGGAGAAAAAATACAAATGTGAAAATAGAAATGTTGTCCAGTATTTCAGAGGAGTATTTTCCTGAACAGAAATATTTTTCAATTCTTTTCAGACCCAAGACCGGATTCCAGATGTGGCTTGAAGAGAACAGAAGCTGCATTTTGACAGACAATCCTCATTTTGAAGAAACAGAGATAATCAAGGAAGGCATGAGTCGGTTCAGAGCTTTGTCAGCTGAAGAAAGGATGGTAATGGACTCCTCTTGTGGAGGATTTCATATTTTTACACATAGCACTGGATTGTTTTCTTCTTTTTGGGTGTGTTGTTTTCCCTATAGTCCTCCAGAAGTTGCTAGCCTACAACTCTTTGTCATGCTGATTGTGGATAATAATAATAATAATAATAATAATAATAATAATAATAATAATCCTTTATTTAAACCTTTATTTATACCCCGCAACCATCTCCTGGAGGACTCTGTGCGGCTTACAAGAGGCCAAGCCCAAATACATCAATGAAACAACAGCAATACAGACAATAAATAACTCATAAACAAAGCAATAAACAATAACAGCAGCACCACGACGCATTAAAAACCGATGGCAGGGCCAAATGTAATAATTAAAATTTTAAAATACTGAGCATGACAAGGTGACATATAACTAGGATGGGTATTTGGAGAGAAATGGAACGGGCAGACAATCCTAGATCATTAGTAAAGTGCGATTAGGGACATGTTGCTTAGGGTTTCCTTATTCTGGGAAGGCACACTGGAACAACCACGTTTTCAGGCTCCTCTTAAAGACTGCCAGAGTTGGGGCATGTCTAATGTCCTTGGGGAGCGAGTTCAAGAGTCAAGGGGCCACCACCGAGAAGGCCCTATCCCTCGTCCCCACCAATTGCGCCTGCGATGGAGGTGGGATCGTGAGCGGGGCCTCTCCAGATGAACGAAGAGATTGTGTGGGTTCGTACACAGAGATGCAGTCACGCAGGTAGGCGGGTCCTGAACCGTTTAGGGCTTTGTAGGTAAGCACCTGCACCTTGAATTGGGACCGGAAAATGAATGGCAGCCAATGGAGCTCCTCGAACAGGAGGGTTGACCTTTTCCTGTAAGGGGCACCAGTTAACCTGGCCGCTGCCCATTGGACTAGTTAAAATTTCCGGGCCGTTTTCAAGGGTAGCCCCATGTAGAGTGCATTACAGTAATCCAATCTGGAGGTGACTAAGGATGTTAGGAATTGGGGTCCAACTCTCTCTTTGAGGGTCAGGGTTCCCCTGGATTTGAAGAAGTTCTGTCTGAAAAGCAGGCTATGTTGTTTTTTTATTCTTTTTAAATAAGATACATGTTTTGTCTAAACTATTGGACACTTCGTGAGACTATATAACTCATTGTCAAAGACAATGATGGTCAGTAAAGTGGAAAGCAATGCACCTTTAAAACCATTTTAAAAATGCATTGATTCAATCAGGAAAACATGGCCCCAAGTTTGCAAACCTCTTAATGCCCGGGGCTCAAAGAAAACTCTCGTTCATAGGATCAACTTAAGTCAAAGCTGATCTGACCTCATAACAATAATAACAAATATGGTGGGAAGAAAGGTCTGATTCTGAGTGTTTGCATCTATCCATATGCCCAAACCAACTTAATAGTAAACTAGCCGTCTCCTGCCACGCATTGCTGCGGCCCAGTCTGTGTATAGTATGCGTTTTGTGTGTGTATATGTGGGTATATATATTTGTGTATATGCGTATATATGTGTATGTGTGGTTTTGCACATGCGTCAGTGTATTTTTTAATTTTTGTGTGGTTTTTTTTTTGCCAAGGGGAGTTGTTTTTGCACATGCGCTGTAGCATCTTGTTGCTTTTTTTGCTTTGTAAGTCCCTTCCGATGTGTTTTTCAGTGTTTTTATGAGAGATGGTCATTTGTTGGCCTGGTATGTGTATTGTGTCCAAATGTGGTATCGATTCGCCAAGTGGTTTTTGAGTTATGTTAATCCCACAAACGAACATTACATTTTTATTTATATACTAGCTGTCATCTGCCACAGGTTGCTGTGGCCCAGTCTGTGTATATGTGTGTTGTGTGTGTATATGTGTGTGTGTATATTTGTGTAAATGTGTTTTGTGCATGCGTTATAATGTGATTTTGTTTTTTGGTTTTTTAACTCTCTTCCACTGTGTTTTTCTGTATTTTTATAAGTGATGGTCACTCGTTGGCCTGATACATGTATTGTGTCCAAATATGGTGTCAGTTTGTCCAGTGGTTTTTGAGATATGTTAGTCCCACAAACAAACATTACATTTTTATTTATATAGATTGTGAGAAGAACTTCAGTTTTGTGGAAAAGCTTCTAGTGTGAGTGTATCCATGATAAAGTGTTGGGATTTCTCAGTTATTTCCAAAGTGCACAAATACTTTTATCAGTCTGTCCCTAACAAGGAGGTTATGAATCATTTTGAAATATGATAGGCATATTAAGAAATACAAGCACTTTGAAACTTTGGATGTTGTGTGGTTTCCAGGCTGTACGACCGTGTTCTAGCAGCATTTTCACCTGACATTTCTACCTGCACCTGTGGCTGGCATCTTCAGTGGATCTGATGGTAGTAAAGCAAGTGGTATATGTATTCCTCTGGGATGTTCAGGATGGAAGAAAGAACTATTGTCTGTTAACCAAGTGTAAAGTGTGCTATTACCAAGCTTGATTTGCAAGTATTGAGAGGTTTTTTTTTCATGTCAGGAGTGACTTGAGAAATTGCAAATGGCTTCTGGTATGTGAGAATTGGCCGTTCCCAAGGAAGTTGCCCAGGGGACGTCCGGATATTTTACCAACCTGTGGGAGGTTTCTCTCATGTCCCCACATGTGAACTGGAGCTGGCAGATGGAAGCTCACCCCTCTCCTTGGATTCAAACCGCCTACCTTTTGGTCAGCAGTCCTGCCGGCACAAGGGTTTAACCCAAAGTGTTGAGTGGGATCCAACCATTAACATGTGAGTGGATCCCACTCAACAATTGCAAATCAAGCTTGTTAATTACACCCTTTCTCTCACCCTGGACAGCCACAGGTATATCTACTCCACTTGCTTTACCGCCATCAGATCATCCGAAGATGCCTGCCACAGATGCTCCAATCCGTTATGTTTGATTTTGGAACTGTTTTGGGCAAGTTTTTGGGTCAGAAAGTCCTCTCTGCCCCGGAGTGTGGTGGAGGCTCCTTCTTTGGAAGCTTTTAAACAGAGGCTGGATGGCCATCTCTCAGGGGTGATTTGAATGCAATATTCCTGCTACTTGGCAGAATGGGGTTGGACTGGATGGCCCATGAGGTCTCTTCCAACTCTTTGATTCTATGATTCTATGATTCTATATTCATTATATCCAAGATTTTATTTTACCTTACCACAGCAGCCAGAATATGTATAGCTAGATTCTGGAAAGCGGAAGAAACAGCAACAATAGAAAACTGGATTGAAAAAAGGGGTGGATATCTTTCCTAGTTTCCTACAGGATCTTTGGTTACATCCCGTTTAGACTACTGCAACGCTCTCTACGTGGGGTTGCCTCTGAAGACTGCCCGGAAGCTGCAGCTAGTCCAGCGCTCGGCAGCCAGACTACTAACGGGTGCTGGGTACAGAGAGCACACCACTCCGCTGTTACACCAGCTCCACTGGCTGCCAATTAGCTTCCGTGCACAATTCAAAGTGCTGGTGTTAACCTAGAAAGCCCTGAACGACTCTGGCCCTGTTTACCTCTCCGAACGTATTCTCCCCTATGAACCATCAAGATTATTGAGATCGTCTGAAGAGGCCCTGCTCTCGGTCCCACCGGCCTCGCAAGCGTGCCTGGTGGGGACGAGGGACAGGGCCTTCTTGGTGGTGGCCCCTTGACTCTGGAACTCTCTCCCACTGGAGATCAGAACCGCCCCTTCTATCCTGACATTTAGGAAACAGGTGAAGACTTGGTCATGGAGACAGGCATTCGACGAGTGAGCCAACACCCTGAGATATGGATGGAGGATGATGAGCAATGATTTTAGTGTGACGACTGACCATTATAGTTATTGATTGCAATTGCTGTCTTAATGTTTTACTGTATTATGTATTATGATGTTTTATTGACTGTATGTGATATTATGGTTGGAAACCGGTCTGAGTCCCTCAAGAGAGGTGAGAAGGCCGGTATACAAAACTTTTAAATAAATAAATTTCCCCCATTTTTTCCATAAATATTATTTATTAATTTATTTATTTGCTATAGTTATATACAGCCCCTGACACTGACATATCATATAAGACCATAACAGTTAGTAAAAACCAAATATTTAGTCGTTCTCAATCCACAGCACAGTTGAGTTTATAGTTTGTTGCTTTTTCCTTTAATCCAAGGTTTGGACTGAGAAAGCCAAAGGAAAAGAAGCCAGTGACCCGGCCGAAGGGAAAAAACGGAAGCGCCCGGAAGGTGTGAATGAAAACAAGCGAGAAGAAGACCAGCTAAAAAAGCCAAACGAAGACTCGAGCTCTGCTAAAAAGTCTAAATCCTTTCAGGAGACCACTGTCACAAGGCTAGCAGCGTTTGCGTACAAGCCAAGCTAAACCAAATGGCCTCCTTTTTACTAACCTGTTGTGAGAACCTTCCTCCCAACAGGTAGGGAAAGACTCGTCTCCGAAGGAGAAATGATTCTGTGTTGACCATCCATGCAAAGATGTTTGCAAGGAAACTTTTTAGCTACACACCTGATGTGTATAGTTTTATCATCATTGCACAGGACAGTTGTACTTGTTTGCCATTGTAGGCGATAAGGTGTTGCCATTTTGTGCCAAGCTACACGTAGAGTTGGCTTCAGCGAGCAAGGACTCAATCCTCCCTGGATAAGATTTGGTTTGACAATAGTGTGATGGGTCATTTAAAGGTATGATCCATCAGAAAAGGCAAAATATGTGATTGAAGCCTTTCATGGCTGGAATCACTGTGCTGTTATGAGTTTTCTGGGCTGTATGGCCATGTTCCAGAAGCACTCTCTCCTGACGTTTCAGGAGAAAATGCTTCTGGAGCAGCCAAGAAAACTCACAGCAACCCTATGTAAACTCACTTGCATATCAGATTCACCGTGCATTGCTGTTCAAAATTAGGATTTTTTACTTTTTTGGAAAATTGAGTTGAAGAGCCTTTGACAGGGGCACTGTTTACGTTTTCTGACAATGACAGTTTCCTCCATAAGTTTTCTGCAAATCATCCGATGACAGTTTTCTGAGTCATGCTTTGAATAGGATTCTCTCAACCTGTATCCAACCCTATACAAAAGGCATGGGCAAACTTGGGCCCTCCAGGTGTTTTGGACTTCAACTCCCACAATTCCTAACAGCCTGCCGGCTGTTAGGAATTGTGGGAGTTGAAGTCCAAAACACCTGGAGGGCCCAAGTTTGCCCGTGCCTCTTATATAAAAAAGAGGCATATGAGATGTAATATCTGCTCGTATCTGTGTTGAAAATCAGCAAATGTGCATCCCTGGACTGGTATTGCAGTGCAGCAATGTTTCTTTTTCTAGATCTTAGAATATTATATTTTTGACTCACCAGTAGTGAATAAATAAAGCAAAATTATCCTTTTTTATCTGTTGCAAATTTCTTTCTCATGTTCTGTATCTCTTGCTGTCATTGTACAAGACTCTGGTTTAAATTCCAATGGCCCCATTGATCCAGAATAATAATAATAATAATAATAATAATAATAATAATAAAACCCTTATTTGTACCCCGCTACCATCTCCCGAAGGACTCGGTGCGGCTTACAAGAGGCCGAGCCCAAATACAACAGCAACAACAGACAGCAAAATAACTCAGAAAACAAAGCAATAACATTGACAACACGCAATGACACAATTAAAAACAATGGCAGAGCTAAATGTAACAATTAAAATTAAAAGTGCTGGGCATGACCAGGTGGAGTGTTTGGAGGGGATGGGCATGCAGATATCCTAGATCTCTGATAAAGATGTTCTTCAGTAAATGAGAAAAGAGATAATAATAATAAAATAAAATAAAACTTTATTTATACCCCGGTGGCGCAGTGGGTTAAAAAAGACAAAGAAACAGGCTTTATGGAGAAAGACAACTTCCAAGAGAAGATATTAATGAAAGAAAAGATCATTACTAAGATATATAATAAACTGTTGAGAATGTATGATTAAATGGGCACTAAATATTGGAAGAGAGTTAAAACTGAGAGACTGGGAAAAATTGTGGACAAGAAAGAGCAGATATACCTACTCAACAGACATGAAGGAGAACTGGACGAAGATGTTCTTCAGGTGGTACATGACCCCCCAAAAACTCAGTGTAATGTACAAAAACACCCAAAATAAATGCTGGAAATGTGAAACACAGGTTGGAACATTCTTTCACACTTGGTGGTCATGCCCTAAAATGAAAGCCTTCTGGAAAATGATACAAGAAGCATGTGAAAAAATATTCAAAACAAAAATCCAACTGAAGCCGGAATACTTTCTGTTGGGCCTAACAGATGAAGAATTTGAAAAAGACCGAAACAAGGATACCCTTTTTACATATCTCTCTACTGCTGCCAGAATGGTTGCAACAAAGAAATGGAAACAAAAAGAAACAGCAACGAAAGATGAATGGTTAACCAAAATCCAAGAAATAAAAGAAGCGGATAAATTGACCTTTGCCTTAAAGGATTCTTACGGAAGACCAATCCTAAAGACAAACTGGAAAATAGTAGACCAATATATCACGGAAGAATTTAGTCTAAAACATCAACAAATAGGAGGATAAAATAGTAATAAGAATAAGAATAAAAACGACAATAAAGAAAGAAAAGTAACAATAAACGAACAAAGAAAAGTAACGATACTAAGAAAAAGAGGAACAAATTAAATAAACAATAATAAAGAGACCAAGGCTAAGTGCAACAGGGAAGAGAAAGAAATGTAAAGAAAGATACCACAAGACCAAGATACAATACAAGTGATAAGGTAAGATGCAACATAAGTCAAAAACTTACAATGTTTACCGGGAGAAGAAGTTTGGAAGTCGAAGAGTTTTGTTTTTACTATCTCCCCCCCCTCCCCACCTGCCACTCTCTACGCTCCTTACCCTTCCACCCCTCTTCCGTATCACTATCTTTTTCCCTCTTTTTTCCTCTTTCTCCCCTCTTCCTCCCCCTCTCTCTCTCCAAATCCCCTTTCCAATGTACTATACTTTTATAGACTGTTTTTATGTACAATTAAAGAGAAAATGTATTTAATAAAAAATACTTTAACAAAAAAAAGCCCTGTGCCGGCAGGACTGGAGACCGACAGGTCGCAGGTTCGAATCTGGGGAGAGGTGGATGAGCTCCCTCTATCACCTCCACTTAAGTGGCTGAAGGGGAAAAGGAAGGGGCCTGAGGCTGTTTGGAATTGTGGGAGTTGTAGTCCAAAACTCTTGGAGGGCCACAGTTTGCGCATGCCTGCACTTGCTAGGCCTTTTCAACACATTTCAGCAACTTCTAGTTCAAGGTAACAATATGCACAGATGGAATGGAGAAAAGATTCCAGAGGGATACCTAGATTCCAGGTTTGAAGAAAAAAGTTGCTGAAAAATGCTGAACTTTTTTTCTTTTCCAAGGTGCAGAAACCTCTGCCTATTTCTTCCAAGTTATTTCAACCAAATTTTCTGTTTCTGGAAGATCTCTGCATTGTTAACTAAGCCATGTCTGTACTGTTAAAAGAGAAGAAATCTGTCAATAATGCCCTTTTACCTGCAAGAATGGAAAGTTACACAGAGGCAATGCCTTTCAAAATGGGCTTTAATTTACTATATAAAGGGATTAAATGTGCTTGTCCACATGGAAGAGCATGGCTACTGAGCAAAATATATTGAGTGCTGTTGTCGAAGGATTTCATGGCCAGAATCACTGAGTTGCTGAGAGTTTTCCAGGCTGTTTGGCCATGTTCAAGAAGCATTCTCTCCTGACATTTTGCCCATATCTGTGGCAGGCATCCTCAGAGGTTGTGAGGTCTGTTGGAAACTAGGCAAGTGTGGTATATATATATATGAAATAATGTTCAGAGTGGGAGAAAGAACTCTTGTCTGCTTGAGGCATGTGTGAATGTTGCAATTGGCCACCTTGATTAGCATTGAATGGCCTTGCAGCTTCAAAGCCTGGTTATTGCTGCCTGGGGGAATCCTTTGTTGGGAGGTTTGATTAATTCTTGTCTGGAACTCCCCTGTTTTTTAGTGTTCCTCTTTCATTATTGTCCTGCGCCACTGGGACTGCATTAAGGTCACTACTGACCAAAAGGTCATGAGTTTGAAGCCAGCCCGGGTCAGAGTGAGCTTCCGACCATTGTGTAGCTTGCTGTCAACCTTTACAGCCTGAAGACAGTTGCATCTGTCAAGTAGGAAATTTAGGTAGCGCTTATGCGCGAAGGCTAATTTACGAGGCCATAAAAATCTCCAGCAAGCATGCAAAGAATGAGGAAGTACTTCATCAGTGTCACAAATGGACGGTGAAGTGACAGCTCCCCTGGTGGCCAGAATACCCTCATGAAAAAGCTGGAATATTAAATAGCCTTTGTGTGTTTGTCTATATATGTTGTGTGTCTATGGCATTGAATGTTTGCCATGTATATGTACATTGTAATCCGCCCTGAGTCCCCTACGGGGTGAGAAGGGTGGAATATAAATACTGTAAATAAATAAATAAAAAAAATTGATTTTAGAGTTGTTTTTTGTAATACTGGTGGCCAGATTTTTGTGGACAATTTCAACAGAAAGGAGGAAACCATGAAAACAAACAAAATCTGGCTACTAGTATTTTTAAAAAAACTCTAAAAACAAGACGATATCTAAAGAGCAACACTCAAAAAACAGAGGAATGCTAGACAAGAATCAGGGCCAGCTAACACCTCCCAACAAAGGATTCCCCCAGGCAGCAATCAGCCAGGCTTTGACGCTACAAGGCCATTCAATGCTAATCAAGGTGACCAGTTGCAACATTCACACTTCCCTCAAGCAGACAAGAGTTCTTTCCCCCACCCTGGACATTATTCCACAGATATATAAACCTACTTGCCTAGTTTACAACAGACCTCACAACCTCTGAGATTGTGGCGCAGCTGGCTGAGTGTCAGCTGCATTAAGATCACTCTGACCAAAAGGTCATGAGTTCGAAGCCGGCCCGGGTTGGAGTGGGTTTCCAACCAATTGTGTGTAGCCTGTTGTCGACCTTTGCAACCCAAAAGACAGTTGCATCTGTCAAGTAGGAAAATTAGGTACCACCTTAAAGTGTGGGGAGGCTAAATTAACTGATTTATGAGGCCATAAAGAAAACTCCAGCAAAGCATTCCAGCAGGGAAGCATGCGGGGAATGCGGAAGTGCTTCATCAGCGTCGCAGATGGACGATGAAAGCGACAGCTTCCCTGGCGGCCAGAAAAAGTTAAATAGCCTCCGTGTATGTCTGTCTATGTTTGTATGTCAAAAATTGGCATTGAATGTTTGCCATATATGTGTACACTGTAATCCGCCCTGAGTCCCCTGCGGGGTGAGAAGGGCGGAATATAAAAGCTGTAAATAAATAAATAAATAAATAAATGTGGGCAAAATGTCAGGAGAGAATGCTTCTGGAACATGGCCATGCAGCCCAGAAAACTCACAATAGTAAGACTCAGAAAACAGGGGAATTCCAGACAGGAAACAATCAGGGCCAGCTAATACCTCCCAACAAAGGATTCCCCCAGGCGGCAGCCAGCCAGGCTTTGAAGCTGTAAGGCCATTAAATGCTAATCAAGGTGTCCAATTGCAACATTCACACTTGCCTCAAGCAGACAATTGTTCTTTACCCCACCCTGGACATTATTCCACAGATATATAACCTCACTTGCCTAGTCTACAACAGACCTCACAACCTCTGAGGATGCCTGCCATAGATGTG